TGCATACACGTCGATCCGATCGCCGAAAATAATGCGTTCTTTTTTATCCGTAATACTAAAAGCCCTTACCGGTGAATAACGAATGCGAGAGTAAACTCTTGCAAAAAACACGACCGACCTGAATAAACAACTTGAATAATAAATCTGACAATGAATCAAAATCATTTTTATGCCCTCTTTAACTCGATATTATTTTTTTCTCTATTCATTTATTTAGATATTTATATTAAGTATATTAGAGTACGATCAAATTAAGATTTAAAGTAATTAATATATGAGTAAAATATAGTAATGTCAAAATTTATATATTCTTCTTAAATATTTTTTTATTTTGCGCTTTAAATTGGTGTCTTTTTTTTATTCATAATTTTTGTAGGAAAGACAGATTTAAGAACAATAGACAGATAGAAAATGATATTTGTTATAACTAAATATTTTTTTACATATTAAACTAACACCTTTTTGAAATTAATACGTAAAATTTTAATACTAATAAAGAACAATTACTCTCTGTAAGAGTTAATTACATCTCGATGTAAATGTAGCTATTTCGAAGCATTTCTCATTAATGTTTCTTTTGTAGTCTAACATCGAGAAGTTGCGGCTATTAGCAGCGTGACATGTCTCGCGTTACAAAATCTCTCGCAAATATCTTGAGGTCTCTTGCGTGTGACACATAATTATCGCTAAGGCGATTTTTTTTTAAGCTTGAGCGAGCACGCAATGACGGTGCTCTGCAACACAGCTATACCTGTCTGACTTTTGTAACGTGTGTCTACATATTGCTGTCTCTCTCTCTCTTTTTCTTTTTCTCTGATATCCTTCCATTGATCTCGCATATTCGGATAACAATGTGATCATGGAACAAGAAAAAATCAATTATAAAAAATTACAATAGGAGCAAATATTATAAAGCAACTGCATATTTATTACAACAAATTAATTAATTAACATAACAAAGAAAGATTTTTTTCTAAAAATATATTGACGTCAAATAATATAATATATCTAATTATATATGCTGCTCGAAAAATTGCGTAACTAATCGAGAGATTGAGAATCAATCTAATGTCCGAAGATGTGTCACCGGTAAAGTTTGTGACCGCTCTTCGACATTTCTTTATATGATATTATTTCGGCCGATTATTACACCATATTAGAATTAGATATAAATGCGAACTCAAGCGTGTCGAAAAACAGGCTTTTCTTCACGCACGAACGATTTCGTAGGCACAAGAAAAGTTAGATTAATACAATTTATCTCCAATGTATCTTCGATACAAAGGTGCTTACAATCCGATAACCCCTAAGAATTACATTTAGTTAGTCAATATATTTCAGATTATGAGATATCCAAGCCAATTACACGAACACTTATTTGATTTATATAAGATTTTACTTTTGTCTAAATCTTTTAATTATATTTCACCTATTATATAATTCTATATATTTTACAGCATCGGTAGATATGTATAAAATAATTAAATATAAAAATTACACATTATATATATATAAAGTTTCTCTTTTACATTTTTTTATGATTGTTTTATGATAATATTGCATCCGTTCTATCCCACTTATGCAATTGGAATTCAACTCGAAAAAATAACGAAGTAATGAATTAACGTCAAATAGTAAAATTTTTTAACATCAAAATTTATGAAAGTGATACGGGCTTCTTTTCCTCAATAAATAACATCAATATACTTTTACATTCTGTCTCTTTCTATGATTTTTCCTGGATTGCACAACATTATTTTACATGGTTAATAACTTTAAATGTAATTCGAAGTTGGACAAATCTTAATAAATGATTTATTATATAATTTCATAATTTTGTACACATATATATATGTAATATGTAATAATATATTTTATTGCATATTTCGTTACAAGAGCAAATTTTATTTAAAAAAGATAGCCTTGCAGTGCAGTGCAATATAATACAATTCGTCTAAATTAAAATTGGCTTATAATAAAACACTAAGTGAATAATGTCGATTTTATAAAAATATATTGCAATATTAGTAATATCCTTGAAACACAAATTTAATACTGTAAGAGAGCGATTTTTGCTTCTCTTTGCCAAATGTGCACTTATTTTTATTTTTAATTATTTTTCAGTAACATCAATTGTTTTCTTATATAAATCACTAATTATACATATTATATTTACGTTATTATTATTTATTGTAAAATGAAAATAACAACATAAATAATGACCAAGATGGATTATTGATCATCATCATCAATTGTCATGTTAACATTTATATCGTCATTATGTTGCGCACTAGAACGATTCATTAATTCAAGGATTGACGAAATCACAAATATTTCTGCATGCTCAAGAAACATTTAATACGCACAAAATTATTCCTATTGATTTAAGAAAATTAAACGCACTTTAATTATGGGATATCTAAATTACTTTAAAAATTATTATTTTATTTAAATTACTTGTATCTTTCTATATACACATATAAAATCACTTATTGTTAGTTAATTTTTTAATCTAATTTTAAACTGCGGTGCTAACAAATTATTAAGAAACAAATAATTTAATTTAACGAAATGATAATGTTTCTCAATTGCAACAAGATCACTTTATTTATTCTGTAGATATCATTGACTGTGATAATAGACAATGATAGACAATTCAGTTAACTAGTAATTGCGATAAGCATTAATATCGATCTTAAAGCGAGCGTCAGATAATGTGATCCATCAAAATGCGTGGCATTAAATTAACAAATTGAACCGGCTCTGTGAGATCAAAGGCGCACAAATAGACAAGAGAATGCGATTATGTAGTCGTTACATTCCGCTGCAAATTGCGCTCATGCAGAGATCTCGCGCTAGGTAATCGCAGGGGACGGTAAAATCGATCCTTTCCCGAATAGCATGTTGGATATCTCTATTATTGCATTATCGAGCAACACAATACATGTGAATTAATAGCTAACAATAAGATCTTGTCTCACGAGTGTACCGAAATTGGTAGAATACAATTATTATGCCAGTCGAAAGACGGATGTTTTGGTTGAATAATTTGCATAAAGCATATTAATTGTCCTAATAAAGCTTGCAATATTTTTTACAATAAATTTAAATGTTAAGTTCAAATTAATTCAAAGTTTATCATTAATCTGAAACATCGCGTCTAAAAGTCATCTGAATTTTGTGGAATTATTAAACTACAAGTTTTCAATCGACAAAGTTTGTTGGTTGAAAACTTCTAGAAATTATTTAAAAAATATTTAAAACATGTAAATTGAAAAACGAAAGAAATTACAAACGAGGAATAAGTGTTGAATGTTGAATAATGTAATAAGTCGCTGATATATTCTGAGAACTTAAACCGCCACTTGTAAAATATATACGAGTAACTTTTACGATGTTCGAAGAGTGTGCTCGCACTGAAAGACAAATGAACATTAAATCAGGAAATGTCTGTTTGGGCGGTAGAAAACCGGTAGAGAACCCATTTTACGTTCCAACGGGACAGACCCAATCACCTAATGTCTACTTCGGAATGTTATCTCCGGATTGTTATTTATTGCCGTCGTAACTTAAACAATTCCCTGTTATTTTTCCGCGAATAATGCAAAGCATGTTCTATAGAAATCACCGCAATCGTTTAGTTAATTTTTCATAAAATACACACATTCGCGTAAAATCAATGGCAAATCTTCATAAAACCAAATTCTCGTTTTTCTTGGCAATCGAAATGCGAATACGATATAGCTAACCAGCTTTATACTGGATATAGGAATAAATGAATAATTATTTTCTCGAGGATAATAAAATTGCCGTAAATCAATTGACCAGAAGGGATATATATAATCACTGTAGGTCAATTAGCAGGCGGTTCATACCGATAAATGTTTACAGGCTTAAACCAACATATCTTAGCGTAACATAGTCTTTCGCACAGATGACGATGATAACGCCGCCGGAATTGCTACCTTACAGACAATCTGCACCTTATGTAGTAAGCACGTGACGTAATGATAGTGCACGGCAATAGAAGACACCGTGGTACATGATTTATGTTAGCGCGATGGAGTCGGCTATGCTTTACCCTGATAATGAAGCATTAGAAAATCTTACGCAAACCGACACAGCCGCCGGACATAGGCGATAATAATGCGCTCGTTACAATTAGTATTACGCCTTACTTGCATTGCGTTAAATAGAAATTTGTTGTTTCCTACGTATAATATACAATATTGCATCATGTGAGTGATGTAAAAAAATATTTCAAAAAAGTATTCGAACATAATAGAACTGTATAATAGACATATATATAGATATGGATATACATAAATATATTCCGATATTATGAAGAAATATTTTATTCATATATGCATTTCATGTGTATCGTTGTCATTATTATTAATAATTAATTGTTATGGACAATAATAATTATATATTCAATAGCAATACTTTACAGCTGGAATAATATAGTACAATTAAAATTTAATCAAAATAAAACTATTGAAAATTAGCTTTAGCATTATTTATTTATTTATTTTAAAGATGTGCTTAATTTGTCATAAAAGAATTTGATCTCTAATCTTAAATTTAATAAAATCCCTTGAATTAATCTTGTTAATATTCAACAGTTTTAACATATCTCATACATTCAAAGATACATGACAAAACAGTTTTACAAAGCTGCATCAAACTGCGCTCACATATGTACATATATATGCATGTATCTGCATAAAGTCGCCAGGCTCCATTTACTTACTGGCGGTTCGCGCACGTTTAGCATGTTATACAACTGCTGCACATTATGCGTTATAATATATATACATATATATATATATATACCTGCGTGATATATCGTGTGTAAATGGCGTTAGATTCTAGGTAGGTGTGGCGATAGGCCGACCATTGGCTTCCTTCGCTATTGGCGGGGTGCAGGGTGTGCGAAATGAAAGTCCATTCCCTATATAAAGGGTGGTTTTCCAGCACGAAGACAACAGAAACCGATCTATTTTACTCACGCGCGAGTATCGTTCACGCCAAAGTATTTCAACATGAGGGCTCTGGTATGTGCATCCCCGATCACAGTTGTAAATCTTTGTGACGCGCGAGAGAGAATTCGGTGACGAATAAATAATATCTCACCAAATTGTTTCGATCGAAGTTTCAAAGCCGTTTGTGCCGATCTAACTCCCCAATTTTTCCGTGCTTTTTCATGGTGTTTCTTCAAAACTTCACATTTGTGAATGCGACGCACAGATCTTTTTCGACAGAAACGATCAATTATCGACTTTCGTTTATTAATATTGATCCGTAGACTTCGATTCAATTCTATTGGAAAATTGCTTCAGATAAATTACCATCTTAAATATATATCGTTACAGTTCGCAAATTTATCTTCGTGCTCCAATTAATATATCGAATAATTTTCTCATCTATTGCTTAATTTTGATTTTTTCCTATAGATTTTCGCTATAAAAATTAGATTAGACAAAAGTTTTCACGATAATTGTCTATCGATCTTGAGAGATTCATTCGTTCATAAATTTTGACTCGCTAAGTTCTTATCGACATATTGTTCTTGACTATAAATTAATATTGTAATAATTTCCGATAATCGCTATTTCGCACATAATTACTTATCTGTTTTTTGCTGATGATCCCTTATTAAATATTTTTATTTCTCTTCTTTATTCTTATTCAATGTGTTTTTCCCAATGTTGCACAGATCTGCCTGATGCTGGTTGCCGCAGCATTCGCCACCGAAGTGAAGAATGTCCAGAAGCGTGGTCTGAGTTTAGGTGGATGGGGAGGACTCGATGGTCTGAGTTTGTCTAGTGGATATGGTGGTGGATATGGTGGTGGATATGGTGGTGGATATGGTGGTCTGAGTTTAGGTGGACTAGATGGTGGACTAGATGGTGGTCATGGCAAGATCGCCATCGCCATCAAGGAGAGGACTGTTCCAGTCGCGGTTCCGCACCCAGTTCCCGTCCCAGTTGACCGTCCGTACCCCGTTAAGGTACGAATTAGAATTACTTCAACTTTTCGCGACGATCATCACAACACCTCATTCATTATTTTTTTCTTCAAATATATTTAAGTTATAAAATGTGGAAACCATTTAGCAAGCAAATTGAATCAGTATACAATTCAATTCCATTTAAATGTTAATTTAATTTTGAATATTATGTTATTAAATATAATTATTATAAAATAGGAACGATATATTTAATTCGACCCAAACTAGCCAAGAAAATTTTTATTTTATTTCCACAACGTTTCGACCATCTGTTTTTTGGTCCTTTTCAAGTGAAAAATTCCTTGATAAAAGCGCAGTTGTCAACTAACTGTGCGTTGTGGAAATAAAATAAAAATTTTCTTGGCTAGTTTGGGTCGAATTAAATATATCGTTCCTATTTTAAATACCACTAGCGACGTTTTAAGTATTCAATTTGATAATTATTATAATTATTATAAAAAATGTCAAATTCATAATTTGATAGTAAATGAAGTTTTGTATAATTTTTTCACGTGCGGTATCACAAATATGCAATCGCGTCTAAATTCTTTGTCGTCTCTTTCAGGTTCCAGTCGCCGTTCCAGCGCCCTACCCAGTTATTCAAACGAAAACTATCACGGTTCCCGTAGAGAAGCCAGTTCCAGTCGCCGTTCCAGTGCCACAACCCTACCCAGTTATTCAGACGAAAACTATCGCGGTTCCCGTAGAGAAGCCAGTTCCAGTCACGGTTCCTGTCAAGGTCCCAGTACCCGCCCCATACCCCGTTAAGGTAAGCTAGTAATGAATTTTACTTTAAGAATAATCTATATCTTTGTACTTCTCTGTAATTAATTGATATTTCTATATATAATCGGAAGATAAAATAATTAGAGATAGCAAACAATTTTACGAAAGATAAAAACCACACAAACTTTTTGGACTCGTCAGTTAGAATTTATATTATGATTCGTAGAAAGAGAAATATTGTCTTTCAAATTCTAATATAATTTCTGATAAATCTTAATTATCTTGTATTATTACAGAACATTTAGTTCATTATGCTAATATATCGTGTATAATCCTTCAGTTTCCGAATGCAACAAGTAGAAATCGATTTCGAGATAGCGATTACAACATCAATGTTGAGAGCTCTCAGTTCCCTAGTTTAACTAATTGACTGACTATGTTAATTGATTGGTATTTGGGTTTGGTATGTTGTGATAAGGATCATTGTTTTCGTCGCTTATACAGGTGTTACACGATTAAATAAACGTACATAAAGGAGCCGTGTGTAATCGATCGCAGTTCAAATATATTATTTTGCAATCGCAATATTATAATTAAATTACGAGCGAAATTTATGCTTGAAGCTACGTCGAATAATTGATGATTGATATGTTTGGCTGATGCAATTAACGATTGTCAGAAAATTAAAGTATATATGTTACATTACTTATATTGATATTATTTATAATAATTATAATGAAATAACTAATATTATATAATTTGATAATTAATTTTATAAATTCAATATTTGAAATATATTTCCAAGATTGCGATTAATCTAAATAATGGTCCGATCAAATGGAAAAGTATAGTTACTTATTCTATTGGAACGAGATTTGTTTATTTCTTAATTATCAATTAATCTCTTATCATTTTGTGTTTTAGGTTGCAGTGCCTCACCCAGTCCCAGTTGCAGTACCCCATCCAGTTCCAGTTGCGGTTCCGCAACCGGTCTACATCAAAGAAACGGTTCCCGTTTACATTAAGGGACACTACTAGATGAATTTCTCCTCCAAAAAAAGTCACATACACGCCACCCCGCTCCATTTCGCGACCTTTTTTCCCAACAGCGCAAAATCCATCACGACGAGCAGACGACGTTTCTTCTTGTCGTGTATAGTACCTTTAATTCACGGAATAAATCAATTTTGTAAATGTTTTCATAAAGAAACTATATATGAATTTTTCCCTCTTCTCTCCTGCGCTTGTAACTCATTTTTTAGCTTGATAGAACAAATATAATTTAAAACAGAAAACTTATTAATTATATGTTATATCAAAGTTTTCGCGATATTTTAAATTCTCTTAAATATTTCCTTAGACTACAGAAGAATATTTGAGACTCTTTTTAGAGTTTAAAAAGAAAAGTTCTTTAATAAAAAAATTAGCAGAAAATATAGAATTTTCAATTTTGTCATTAAATTAATAGAAATATTGCTATTTTCTATATATATATTTTTTTAATTAAATTAATGACTTTTTAAAATTAATTTTGTATTTGTAATGGAAATATTAAATAATCGATATATTATTCTATTGCAATTTTATATTTATGTTTAATTTTGCATATGTAATATTATTATATATCTGAGATTAAGTGTTTAGAGTTTCTCTAGAAATCTAGATTTAAACTATTTTTCTAGGTCACTCTGTTGCGTTTTTTAGCACAACGCAATCGTTTGTGAAAACCGTGGGATACACGAAATTAATTAGAGCCAAGGCAAACTTCGCATTGCGTAAATGATAGATTAGATTCAATACAGGAGATTGTCTATTCAGGAGGTATATTCATATAATTTCCATTATATAAATGTATAATACAAATTCACTACTAAATTTATTATTAAAAGTATACAATAATAAATGAACTATATTTTATAATATCATAATTATATGTTAATTCGTTCAATGAAGACGAGATTTTAATATAAGCTCGGTTGAAAAAATGTTATACTAAAAAACATTATTGGTTTTCGTTTTTTTTCAATTTTATCGAACAAAATTTCAGCAACCGATACAAACTTAAATTGATAGATTGACTTTAATTATAGGATCATCAAAATTTAATTATAAATTGCTTATTTAAAAAAGCTCAACTTTGCTGTGTCATTATTATTGAAATTTGTTCTAAAAGATAACGAGCATAAAATTATTTTTTATTTTAATAATTTTATTTTTATAAATTTATTGATTATAGTACGTGTATAAAAATAGTATTCACAATATACCTATTCACGCATAAGTACAAACTCAGAAATTCATACGTGTTGTTGCCGTGTTTGCAATATGTCAAAATGTTTGTTACATTTACATGGGATTAATCTGGCATGCTAGACTGTTTACATAATGAGAATTTAATTATTCGACCTCTGTTCCGACCTCATATTATCTTGGCTCGTTTTTGCTACTGACTTGTCAGTTATCTTTCGCAACAGAATTTCGCACTTCGTTTTACACTCCACCCAAATATACCCGCCTTTCACGCTCTCTCAATCTGTTTATACGTGAGAAACGTGAGAAACAACGTCCTTAAATGCCACGAAATAAGGAAGAGGCACATTACGACACACAGCAACTTGATTGTAAAATCGCTACATAAAATTTTGGCAATATATGTATTCCTTTATTTATGTAATGCTCAGATTTAAGCGGATCGTTTTCTTGAATAGAAATAGAACAAAATGTGAATGGTGAATTTAGAAAACTGTTCTATGCTCCAAAAAAATTTTCGTTTCAAATTGATCGATAAAATTAATTTCAAATGTATCAGCATTAAATATCGCAATTAAAAGTTAAACAAAGTAGTCAACTCTTCCTCTTTCTTTAATAATATTTTTATAGAATTTTTATTTATTTAAATCAATTTCAACTTTTAATTTTAATTTGATTTTAATTTCTCTTTAATTTTAACTTTCTTTTAATCTTAATTTTTAATCTAATCCTAACTTTAAAAAAATTTCTTTTATCTTGTTTTATTTAAAAAATATTTTGTCTTAATCTTTATTATTTTAACGTTATATATATATTGAAATATAAAATTATAATATGAAATTATGGTCATGAAGTTTTTTTAAGTGTGAAATGAAGAAAGATGAAATAGCTAAATAACAAATTCTTGTATTGGTGTACAATAATTAGTATTTGTCACCTGTCATTGATAGCTTTTATTGATTTGTTTACTGTGCAAATGTTATTTTCGCTGATTAAGCAAATATCTTATTCTGATGAGAAGAAAGTTGCAGTCATCTTATTTTTTTCGAACACGAAATTATATATTTTATTGCACAATATAGAAGTTGTAGTTGTGCTGAAAATGATTTCAAAACCTATCAAAGGATTTTAATCCACATATATTTTATAATTACCAAATTTGTGAATCTTACATAAGGTATATCAGGTATTTCTCAAACACATTTTGCTATGATTTATTGAATTATTTTGAGATAAATAAATGAACATTATTATGTTTATTCCATAAAATTTACACAGATTTTCAACGCAATCGTGAAATTTAGACGAAATCGAGATCAAATTTCTCGCGCTATACATACACTTTTATATATTTATACATATATAATAATTCATATTGTTTTTATAGTAAAAAATTTCATATTGCCTTTATTTTTTAGAGTAACTAATATTATATTAATATAATCTTTTAAATTATTTATTAGCGTCATTTTGATATATTATATTCGTAATTTAATTTAATTTGGTATTAATTAGCTATAATATAGTAACTTGTGAAAAAAACGTGCGTGCTAAGAAAGAATAGAGGGATCTATATTACATAATGTTACAAGGTCTATGAAACAATCTGTAACTGCTGTAGTTGAGCATAATAATGATCCAAAGCAGACAAAGCCGAGCTTTCTCGTAGAATGTTTCTTGTTACTTGATCTCGAGGACATGACTTTCTTTCTTGAATAGTGCGAAACGTGCCGCCTACATAATGAATTCTCGATTACATCAATTTACATAACAATAATGAGACACCCGGCGTGTCGTATTTATCAATTAATAATTTGTAGTTTGATAACTTTGTCACCTAACAAGTACGGTATGGAAATCTTTAAATATTACTGATGTAATTATCATGTTTGCGCGCAGCACTTTCTTGTCATTTTTATATTACAGTAAATTATGCAATTATAATTTATATATATATATATATATATATATATATATATAGTACATAATTTTTAGAAATATTAATATATATATATATATATATATATTATAAAGCTGCACAAAATGTTAATGTTTAATCTTAGGGATCTTATTTTTAATAACTGTTTATTTTTGCTTTTACATTCTGCATAAATAATGATAAAATAAAATAAATAAATGATTAATAAATTTCGAACGCAAAAGCAATGTAGGAGAATTTCAACAAAGGTTCCGCTTGCAACTTGGGCCTTATCGATGCGAAGAAAGCGGACGTCGCGGCACTTGTATAATGCAGATCGTATATATGCACTCGATGCAGAATGCGTGCACACGTACAATATACGTACATCGAGGTGACGTGAAGAACGTGCGTAAATAACCGGTGTGAGACACACACGGAACGTGGAATTTTCGGCGATTTCGCTTGAGCCCGTCCAGCCCAGGCTTGGCACCCGCAATTATGCAATCATTATGAACGACTACTCATTTCGCGCTCGTAACAAATGATAGGACGACAACCAGTTTCCGGTGTGGAAATCGGAGACGGTTACCGATTTATGCAATTCACGCGAACACCCGCGTTTCTCTCTTACCCGGAAATTGCTGATTCAAGTTGTCAACTGGACCAGTGACCAGACTCATTTAAATGATATATCCTTTCGTTCAACTTTTAGTTTGTGAAAGATATTTTTTTAAATTTTACAATTCAATAAATCTAATTTCCAATTTTAATTAATTTATTTTTAATCGTTTAACTTCTTTATATATAATATATCTATTTTATTTCTTAAATATAATATAATTTGAATTTACTTGTTAGAAATATTTGATTTCCGTATCTAAATAAAATAAAATAAATGAAGAACGACGAGTACTAATTTGATGAAAATATATTTCATATAATTAATATTGCAGTAATAGAAATCGAATTACTAAGATAGAGAGAGAGGCTGGTCAGCTGAAAAATAGCTTAGTCTCCCGCAGTATTTTTTTAGTACACGCCGACAAATAATTCCGCAAGATTTATGAAGGATAAAGTGACATAAATCTTTGCGAGGAAGCATCGTTCACGAAATTTATATTACGTATCTCGATCATTCTTTCTCTCGATGGACAAGGACCACTTATTTCCACTGTAAGTAAGAAACGAACCGTTGGCGCCGGCCTCGATAAATGTCACATGCAAATTTGGATCATCCATAACATCATCATCATTATTCAAAAACTACCAGGCGGCCTCTTTCTCTTCATCAAAGCGAAAATCCGGGTTCGGGACGCCTTATTATTTATCTTTAAAACACATTCTTACTTTTCCATAATAATTTTACGTAAAATCTTTTTCGCACGTATAAACTGTATTAATATTTAAAAATGACACTTTAATAATTACCTAACATCTTCAAGAAGTAACAAAAAGTATAAGAAAATATTATCTTTTTAATATAATATCTTTTTTATATTTTGTCTTTTTTATATATTTAAAGTAATAATTCACTATCTTTTATTTGATTTTTTAATTATTTTAATATATGTATTATATTTTATTTTATGACTACAATTTTATTTTATATTATTTTTTTAAATTTAGAATATATATATACTATAATATCTATTCCCAAGTATAATTTTGAATAAAATAAATATAATAACAAAAAAATTGAATTCTATTCATAAATTATATTTAATATATCTCCTTCGGGAGAGAAGGTTTTAAAATTAAGTCATGTAATTTATAAGTTTGTTTGCAAATGCGCACTTATGGCCTGCATTTTAGTAACACAAGTCAATATTTCAATTATTACAAATAAGTTTAGACTACTGTAAACGCTTTCCGATCGATTATTAACGTTTTGCAAAGATCATGAATTTTTATTCAAAAATTTGCATCTGACGAAAACTATGGAGGAATGTCGATTTAGCTGCAGTCCTTGATTGATATGTCGATTAAATATATACTAACTTATAAAAATATAGTTATGTTATATACAAAAAGAATAACATTAATATAACATCTATTTCATTAACTAGTAATAAAATTTATCGTCAGTTAATTTTTCATACAATAAAGATATTTTATAAAAGGAAGAATTTTTTCACTATTCGTCATTGAAAACTTTTTACTCATATAATTCTTTTTATTTATTGTACAGATTTAAATTTAAATGTTTCGCTTCTTTCATGTCTTTACTTTCAAAATCCTAGACGATTCATATAAAATAATGTTTTATTTAGCAAGTATTCAATTAAATATTAAATATATACAAAAATCAAAACTCATTATTCATTTACACATAAGATTAATTACGAAAATTAAAAGATTATTTTGTTATTTACACTTTTAATTCACTAGAATGTAGAGAGAGTTAAGCGAAAATCTCTCTAAATCTAGATCATTTCAATCTTGTTCGCCTCCCATATATGATATACATGTAAAATATATATAAATAAATAATCTGCATAAACATCTACCGTTTTTATTAACCAAAAAATCCTTTCCATGAATTTTTCTATCTCTGACAATCAATCGATAAAAAAATCCTGCCTAATTATTATAAAGTCAGTGAGAACGAGATTATGAGCGAACGTATATTTCTTTGGTTTCATCTTATTGGTTCCACATTCGTTGAAAAATCTAAATGTATTTTAAACGACGTGGCCTTGCATACCATGATTTTGACGCCATTCGGGAATTCACAAACTAGTTTAATGACAACATTCCGATCGATATTTCTCTTTTTTCCGATTGACGACATATGTAAGTTATATTATACATATTACCGATATTCTTTTCTTATATTAATCTGCCATTGAATATATGCATTATTATATATACAAATTTTCTATAAATATCTTCTATAAATATTTTTTTAAATATCTTAATTTATACTCTGACATTATATGTTTATAAGTATTATAAAATTTTAAAAAAATATATACTAGAAAATATATACTTATTTATTGCATTTTTTAATTTTTTCTATTTATGACATAGGAATTTTGCTACACTTAATATAAAAGAAAGCGTATCTTTTTTACAATTGCATTACACAGTATGTTTTTATATCTTTAAGGAAAATTTTTTCCTTTTCCCAAAAAGTTATTAATAGTTTTAATTTTAAAAACAGTTGCCTTATCTTTTCAAAACAATGTAATTAATATTTATATTTTTCATTATTGCGTTTTATACAATATTTAATACAACTATATATCAGAATAATATAAATATTATAAATAATATATTATCATGCAAAATACATAATCCATAAGTAGCATAAACCCATGTTAAAAAAACACGTAAACTAAATAAATGATATATATTAAATATTCATAACAACATCGAACGCTGTAACGATGTTAAGTGATCCAATGCTGTAATAACGGCAATGTTGGACGGCAAGTAGCAATTGCATTCGTTCGTCTATGAGAATGCTCAGAAATATGTATTAACGATGCCTTGTCACGTTCTTCACGAATTTTGTGGAACTGGCCAGACAGGTGAGCCAATTAACGAGCGGCGAAATTGTACGAAGCTGCCCAAAAGTCGGACCACTTTCGATAATAGCACGGTTTATCTTGAAAAGAGGATATTAGCCTGTCTCCCATAAGATTCATAAGTTTCATAAGTATCTCTCGAAAACATACGAAACAAAGGATATAAGTGATGAAGGTCGTCCAATTTTGCACGAGAAATGCAATCGTGATTATACAGAATAGATGTCGAATAAATTTCAGTTTTTTTTTTTTTCCGTGAACATGAAAATTATTTCACGGTCGTGTATCTTACATGGTTTCGAAATTCATCTAAATATTCAGGTCATAATATATTCTACAAGAATATTTATAGTTGTCGCTTGCAACTAAGCTTACTTATAAAAAGTATTATAAAAAATGATTGATTAATTTCTCTTTATACTGTCTTTTGTATATTTTATCTGTGTGTTTTAAATCTTATAATTTTTTATTATTCTATATATGTTCTATTTTCCTTGCAACAATTTGCAGCAATTTCTTTATTCCATAGCATCTTTGCAAAAGATATATATATATTTTTATATATTTTTTCTCTTTCTCCATATAATTCTATATACACATATTAGTATAATCTTATAATACAATTCTATTTTATATAATTTTCAATTCTCTTTATATATTTGTTTATCAAGTTTATCGAATTTATCGAGTACAAAAACACCGCAAAATCGATTCTTATCAACCCTTTTATCCGAGTAATTTTTTTTAAATTTATGAGATCTGATCAAACGCGTATCGTACACCTGTCGTCTTTTTTTACCGACTTCAAGAAGAAAATGAAACATGGTCTTGTTACGTGATAATAAACGATGCAATGATTTATGAACGCGAGGAATCCAGACGTAATATTACGCGATGCGCTCAATATTGTTGTGGCATTTCTGTCAAGTAATTAAATAATTTGAATTAAGAGTCTTTTAAGAAGTACACACAATCTGTTCTGTCTTTTTATTTTAATACATACGTAATAATTAATAAAATATTATACAATAAAAGAAATTATTGAAAAAAATAAAATCAAATAATAATTAATTATAAATGTATAAGCATTATACATATATGTAATTATAATGAAAAATTATATATATATATATATATATATATATATATATATATCTTATTGTATATTTATAAATAAAATGTTTTAATGAGTTACTGAAATTGTTAGTAAAAAATTAATTTTATTTTATTAACAATAAAATAATAAACTCATAAACCGTAAAAAATATGAGAAAAATTATTATAGCAAGAAAAAAATACTAAAACATTTTAATACAAAGTAAATAAAAAGATTGAAAAATAATAATTATTATAATATCATATATCAGATATATCTTTGTACGCAAAAAAATCCGATTTAATATCACATAATTTAACAACATGATTTCACTTGCAAACTTTATTACCAATGATTGGTCAAGATAGAGAGAGAAAGAAGGAGAGCTAAGCTCATTATTTATTTCATTCGCAGATTTTCAATTATAAGACCGGGTAAACACAGAATTGCGCAACCGCAGATGATTGAGAGAACACTCGATGTATGCGATCGCAATCGTGAAACAAAGATCCATAAAGATTGGATCATTATTTTGGCCTCATGCCATATTGTATAAAAGCCATTTTACGCTTTACATATATTCGCAACGTACAATTCGAAATATACTTATAGAGAATTTAATTTTATATCTATGTATAAGAAATTTAAAAACGTAAGTTTTGTAATATAATTTGTAACAGCTCTTTAGAAAATTTTAATCTACAAATAAAAAGGCAATAAGAGCTAATTAAGTTCTATACTAGAATTATATTTGTGAAAAGATTTATAACATAAATTATTAAATATTATACAGAAGTAAATTCGTACATTTCGATTGTCTTTTTCAACCTTCTTCAGCGCATCAATTAAAAATTAAAAAATTAGTAGAAATTAACAATAAATTATTCATCACTGTCATTATAATAAAAATATACGGAGTCAAGTTATATGCTAACACCCGAGATCAACGCATTTATAAAGCAAGAGCATTTTTAGTAAGTCTTTTAATTTGAAAACTATATAATTTAATTTGAAAACTAACTTTTAATATATAATATCAGATAGGTGTGTGATTTAGTTTTAAGAGTTTTGAGGACTTTAAATGTTTTGTAAGAAAAGGTGCGAATGTCAATTTTTCCAAAGAAATTTAAATTACAGCTATTATTTCTTAAAGTTTTAACATCAATTCAAGATTGAATCCTTTACTAAGAATAAACGCAATAAAAACTGTATTTATACCATCGTAAAAATGGAGCTTTCTAAAAAGAATATTTTTGACATTTCTTGCTTTTGTTTTTTAATCAGAAGAAAACGGCGGCTGAAGATAATAAAATTCTGGTAAAAACTTATGATTATGATGCTGCATCATCAATTAAGATGTGTGAATAATATTGATTTATAAGACTTAAAAATGGTAATTTTAATGTTAATGACAAACATATTGAGACATGATTAGTAGATTTATTTATACATTTAGATCTAATAATAAATAATTATAAACTAAATTTGTTAATTAAAATGACAAAAATTTTCCTATAACTCATTAACTGCAATTTGATGCATATATAAAAATTACAGAAGATACATATATAGAAGATATGTAGAAATAAAAATATTTTTAAAATACTCTATATTATAATTTGTATATATTTTTAAATTTAACAGAGAGAGAGAGAGAGAGATTTATCAATTTATAATATTTCATAATTTTATATTTGTTATACACATGTAATGTAATGTCAACGTATAAAATTACGTATAAAAAGATATGATAAAATATTCTCTGTACACCAGAGAGAGGCGTAAAATTTTATGCGATTTTATACAGTTTCCCGTAATAAACCGTGTAAAGCAGACTTAATGAATTTCGACGCGTGCGAGGTGGTGCATTTGCGCAAGACTTGCCTGCGAGCGGCGAGAAGAGTCGCGCGAGCGCGAGTTTTTCGGCGATCCCCTACTCGCGCGCGCGAGGCCCGGTTTCGGTTTCTTTTACCTAACCGCGTTTCGGCGGCAGGCCCGGTTGCCCACCTCGCTCCCTTCTTGCCGTCTCTCCTTCAGGGTTCATCGTATAAAAGCACGGGAATCTTCATCGTAGTCATCAGTCGCAAACACGACGAATCGCGTCCGAAACTCGCGCAGCATCATGAATAAGGTATGATCGGATCCGAGAGTTCTTTTGTCAAAATCGCTTTCTTCGAGAGTACTATAATCGAAGAATCTAAAAAGAATTATATCGAGAATATCTTAAACGGAATCGAAGAAAGATCGATAGTGCGCGAGGGTGAAATGTGTGATCGAAAAACGTAAATTAAATTAATTCAATAAGATGAGTAATAATAAAAATATGTATAATACATATTTGTTTTATATTTTTGTTCAATCGATTAATTATTTTTTTCTTTATTTAATATATTAAACAGATGTTCAACAGTTTATTTACTTCCTTTTTAATAATAATAATAATAATAATAATAATAATAATAATAATAATAAAAGGATAAAAATAACAAATAATAAAAGGATAAAAATAATAAATAATTTACTCTTTGAATAAAATGTATTTTCCGTTGCTTGAGAATTTTACTAAAATTTAAATTTGGAAATGTTTCATGCTTATGATACATGTAAACTCATCTTTTTCGCCGGCTTGAGATAGTCAGTTATTATTAAACGATTGTTCTGTTAACATGGGAATCTCGAATAATCAGGGAACTTCGCAATTCCCTGAGTGGAAATATTAATAATTCCTTTATTTAATTACCTTGATCTAGTGATGGTGAGATTACATAAATTTAAAAATTTTTTTTAATGATTAAATCGACTTATAATTAATTAGGGTTTTTATTTTGTAGATTGGTTTATTGATGTAAGATTTAAATATATAGTAGCTGAAGAAGCACAAGTATGTGCAGAAACGTATACCACATAGTTTCTAATCAAAAATTTTAATTTATTTGGTTTCCATCCATACATCGTATTAGCCTTTCAATTATTAGTTATTTTTTTATAAATAATTTAGTTAAATAAACTAAACGTGCGATAACTGTTTTATCTTTCATTTTTATTATTCGAATTGAATTACGATAAATAAAACTAACATATATATTATAATTTTTTCGGACAATTAAATTACGAAAAGGAATACACTAGCATGCATTATGTATACAGAATAAAATGAAATGATACAGAATCTAAATGTATGCTACTCTGACTTTTGCAGCTGGTGATCCTCTGCGCCCTCGTGGTGCTCGCCCTCGCCGAAGAGAGAAAGAGCGACGATATAAAGAAACCTCTGGATAAAGACGTGAAGAAAGATAAGCGAGGCCTGTACGGAAGCCTGGGTTATGGCTACGGTATCGGTGACCTCGGCTATTCAGGCTACGGCATCGACGGACTCAGCGCGTACTCGTCACTTCCGATCGGCTTGAGCAGCCCCAGCATCCACACCACCAGCATCTTGACGAAGGAGGTCGCCGTACCTGTGCCCCAACCGGTCGCCGTACCCGTCGAGAAGCACGTTCCGGTCCCCGTTAAGGTACCGATTCTCGTTCAAGTATTCTCGCGTATAAAGCGTGTGAAAACTCGTCGGCGAGACACTTCGAGCCGGCTCCTCTTCGAAAAAAAGTCTCTGAGAGTTGGTTTATTGGAAAGCGCGTTAGATGAAAGCCAAGTAATTAACAAATGACTCGTTAGAGAACTAAGTATGGCTTCGTTTTTCATCCACATCTATTTTTAAATTAATAAATCGACAAAAAGTTGCTCCCGAAGTAAATAGATAGTGGCTTTTCGCAATTAAACAATTCAGTTTTTAAAATTTTGCATTGTTATTACATATATATTGCAAAGAATCGAATTTTATACAAATAGTATTCAAACTTTAATATAAAACAAATATTCATGAAAGTATTTATAAAATTTCTTGTGAATATAGGTATTCACAAAAGTACTCATAAAAGTATTTATAAAATTTCTCCTAAGTACTCATAAAAGTATTTATTTTTTCCCGAGTACTCATAAAAGTATTTATAAAATTTCTTCCATGTACTCATAAAAGTATTGATAAAACTTCTTCCAAGTACTCGTAAAAGTATTGATAAAGTTTCTCCCAAGTACTCATAAAAGTATTTATAAAGTTTCTCTCAAGATACTCATAAAAGTATTTATAAAATTTCTCCTAAATATTTATAATATTTATAAAATTTCTCCCAAGTACTCATAAAAGTATTCATAAAAGTAATAAGTACTCATGACTCGCGACTTGAGTTTACTTGAAAGTACTTGTGTATCTCTTTTCCAAAATAATTCCATAAATACATTGTTTTTGATTTATAAATATGTTCTCTTTAACATTGTTGCATTAAAACGCATGTTTTTGTTATAAGAACTATCTCTGGAGAAATTTCTTTTTAATCAAAGTGACACATGCTACACATAGATCTGCACAAACTATATAATAATCTAGAGAAACTTTCGAAACATATCCTCGACAGATAAATAAACAAAGTTAGTCGTGCAAAGAAAAATATTTTATAACAAGTAGAGCGTGATTAGCACAAGGTCTTCGTTATGCATTCATGGCCCACGTCGCATGTGTTATTATCTAATAGTAATCACACCTTGATCCAGATATCATCCACGCTATCTTCAACAAAATTCAATCTATAATCACATTTAATGAAAAATTCATAATCTGTAATAAATAATTTATTGTCCCTATCTACATAATAAGACCAGAATAAATGAATGAATGAACGAAGCAATTATCTATACTTGATAAGTTAAAAAATCAAATCCTATCTTATCAGAAAATTTGCGGATGATCTATAACTCTTGTCTCTTTGTACCTAGGTGCCCTACGCAGTGCCAGTCGACCGTCCGTACCCAGTCCACGTGCCCAAGCCATACCCAGTCGAGGTCACCAAACACGTTCCCGTCCCGGTAGACCGCCCTGTGGCCGTTCCCTACAGCGTTCCCGTTAAAGTCCCGGTTCCAGCTCCGTACGCTGTCAAGGTGCCGCAGCCCTACGCCGTTCCTGTCATCAAGCACGTGCCGGTCCCGGTCGCCACCCAGCCGCTCATCTACTCGAAACCGATCCTGAACTCCGGTCTGGGATACTACGGCGGTTATTCCTCCTCCTGGTAAAACGACGATCCTCGTGAAGCTCCTCCCGAGCGACGCTCTTCAACATCAACAACCGGAAAGTCGCGCGGATTCTTCCAGTGAACCGTCAAGTTCGATGACGGAAAAACACCCTTCGAAGAGAGATACGCGTGTATTAATGTACGTTAATATAGATTTTTCATCGTCGAGAGAGTCGACACAGTGCAGCTAAAAAGTGAATACATTCATCTCATTTTTTAACAGATTTTATGGGATTTTTTGGGCATTTTTTGTGATAGAGAGAAAGATCGAGTGTCTTAGAGACAGAAAAAAGAGCGTCCTCTGGGTTTTAATAGAAAAACAAAAAAAAGACATTTTCGCGAGAGAATGCGGTCGAGTGGAATTTCGATCAGCAGTGTGACTCATATTTAGGAATATGTTTCTATCTACAACTTCATTATGCTGAAATAAATTTTTTCCTACGAAAAAATAGTGTATTTTCATTCCCTTCCACTATTTGTTGCAATAATAATATTTCTTTTCAATTAAAAGTTATGAAAAATATTCATTGTTTCATCCCGTGATGCAAATAATACTTCTTTAAAAAAGGAGAATTAAAGATTTTTTATATTTTATTATTACATATTTTTATGTAATAAAATCAATATATACATATAGCTTTTATTATACAAAAATACATGTGTATATTGCCTACTTAAAAATATATTATATTGAATAACATGTGTAACTTTATATAAGACAGTCGATCTGTCAAGGCGATAATTAATTGACGACGCGCTTGACAGACAAATTAGAGAGTAATTTTTGGATAGCTAATTTCTTGCGGGTCACGAGAGAACGTGAAATGAAATCGAAATCCGCGTGCACGAAAGGGAAATTTTTAAGGTCGCATTATGAGAGGCGTGTTGCATGAACACGGCAGCGATGGTGAAATGTCCATTAAATGGAGAACGGGGACACATTAAACACACGATTAATGGAATTTACATGCAGAACGCATACCGCGCATGAAATGTAACGCGTATATATATCGTAAGCAGTCCGTTAGGTAAGTCCAAGTCTCATATAATGCTTTGTTACTTCAATCTGTCCGATAGAAGATGTCGCAATTCGATATTTACAGCTATAGTTAGGATACTTTGTGAATGACAAATAGAAAAATGAACAAAAAGCATAGAATATGAGACAGTTGTTATAATATGTAGTAAATGTTTTATTAACAAATAAAATACTACATTATTCATTGGAATTTTATATAACATCGAAGATTTAAAACAATACATAATAAAAACAAAAACTCAACATTTTCAAACAAAAAATCTATCAAAGAAAGTCTATATATAAAAATATACAAGCTCAATTTCATTCTTAATGATCGAAGGTATTTTAATTATGTAATTAGCAACTCTGATAGAAATAATAGTATAAAAGAAGAAAATCTACAATATAATATAAAAGAATATAGAATATAAAAGAAGAAGTTATTACATTTTTCTCTTCTTACACCGTTTTTTCCTCTCTTTCTTCTAAAGCCAACTAAAAACATTACAATTCAAAGAGTTTAAAATTCGCGAACATTTGTGTTTCTGGAACTATTCTCATTATCCTTTAATTCGACCATTGAATATGTAATAAAAAAGTTAAGTTTAACAAAGAATCAGTCGCAAAGTTTTCAAGAACGCTTTATGACTCTACAAATTATGATTTTAAAAACTTTCTATGTGTTGCAGAAATTACTGCCAAATATAGTCACCATTAGCATTAGTCATTTATAATTAACAAATTACATCTAAATATAAATATTTTAACGTCACATTTCTCAATTGTTCCGTAAAAACAAATCTAAAAATTCAAAATTTTTTACATTAAGATTATGATCGGAATTGTATTAATATTTAAATTAATTAATTAATATTTATATATATGTAAATCCGTGCACACATTTAAGAGTAATATAAATTTCTTGTCAACTTCTTTATCGCTCTTTTGTTTCAAATAAAGTTGATTAAAGTGGCGCTCCTCTTTTCGTCATACCTTTAAAAACGCTTCGTATCTGATCATTTCTTTTGAAAATAAAATAAATTAGGTTTTTATAAAAGAAACCATCATTATTAAGTATCTTAAGTATTCGTACTTTTTTTCCTTAACTGAAACACATCTGGCTTAAAGCGCTTTTAAAGTGATCAGTTCGCGCGTATCATATGCAATGATTTGTTTCTTGATGTATGTACTTTTCCTTTCAGCCTTTCAACAGAGACCCATACCGCCACAATCAGCCGAGCTGTCGCATTTCGAAAGTTAATGATTCGCCGGCGAGTAGTCGGGCTGGGAAGGCTGAAAATGGGCTTGATTGCCGTTTTGCTGATCGTGGTGCACCCTGCGACCTTGAACATTGGCAGCATAGGAGCTATAGTTGACTGTTTCGTGGTTGGCATGATCGTCGACATGATCTTCAGCATCAGCTCCGACATCCTCATCCTTGTGAATTGATTGCGAGATCGTGATCACCTTAGGCACCGCGATGAAGATTGGCTTGGTCAGAGCAACCGGATGCGGCACCGGGACCGGATGTGGCACGGGTACCGGTTTAGAAACTAGGAACGGCACCTAAATTCAAAATTAAGTCAGTTTTTACTCGTAATTCTAAAATCAATTACTTTTTTTCCTCGGGAACACTAAAAGAGCGGCATTTAAAATACACGCGTTACTGCACTAAAAAAAAAAATTTGTTGGATTAACAAAAATTCTGTTCGAAAATGGACGAAACGGAATTCTGGTTGAATCTACCAGAATTCCTTTTAATACAACAAATATCTTGTTTGCACCAATAAACTGATTTGTTGTACAAACAAGATGCTTGTTGCATTAAAAGGAATTCTGGTAGATGCTTGTTGCATTAAAAGGAATTCTGGTAGATTCAACCAGTAATTCCGTTTCGTCCATTTTCGAACAGAATTTTTGTTAATCCAACAAAATTTTTTTTCCAGTGTGTTTATTGAAATTGCAGTGTCAGAGAGTAATAATTATCATCGCCGATTTCTCTTGTTTCTTGTTATGTGCGTAAAAAGCCGTAATTTTCACGGCACAAATATGATAAAATAATTTAAAAATTCAATTCCGCAGAACTTTACACATTTCCGAGGACTTCTCCGGGGATATTAATATGGAAATATTAAATTTAACCGAAATATATAATTAACTCAGCGAGTCGTGTAGTAGTCGCCTGAGGTGTTTTTAATTTCTGAAAAATAAAATTATTAAAAGATTCCTTTATTAATACCTGCTGATGCAGTTCCACCGGAACCGGCTTCTCCACCGGTATCGGCACATGTTGTGGTACTTTCACTATCTGCGGTACCGGAACCGCCACGGGATGTTTCACAGGCACTGGAAACGGGATGTGATGAGGCACCTAAAGAACGAAGGAAGAGACTGCAACCTATCATTTATGCGAAAGATAAACGCGTCTATTTGCATTTATGCATTGAGATTAATCAAAAAATGCAAAGTACCTCGCGATCCTTCTTTTTCCTCCCGATAATAAAAATTATCACGTATATGTACTCTTATTATTATCTGTGAATAATCTTAATGCCGGAATGAAAATAAATATAGGTTTGTAAAATTTATATTTATATGTCATTATTTATAAACATCTGCATTTAAATAATATAGGTATATAATAATTTCTATGTTTAATTTTGCGAAATATATCACGGAATTGAACTCTTGTTAAGAAAGACTTGTAAGGTGCTACATATTAATTATTAATTATATATATAATGATTGATAATAAATTTAAAATTATTAATAAGATTTTATTATTGATATATTGAATATATTTACATATAAAATAATTTTTATATTTAATTCTAATAAAATATTTAATAATAATGAATAATTGTCGAGTTGTCGTTTTCCCGAAAACTATACTCACCTTAACGGGATACGGCACGGGGACCTTGATAGCTACAGTCTTGGTGACCTTGATCACCTTGGTTGGCACTTCGCGCAGATGTACCGATTGCGAGATGAGCTTGGGCTCATCTGGTCCAAGACCGTGGCCTTCGTAAAGCAAGGGCCCAGCCGTGACCGCTGCTGTCGCCAGCACGAATAAAAACTGCAAAGATGCAACATATCGTAAGAGCGTAACGAACTTGAAAAATAAACATTTTGACACATCTATATGTGAAACGACTGCTATTACTAGCAAAAACAATTTAATTCAAAATTTAAATCAATATTAAATTCTAATCAAAATTCTCGTTCAATTAATAATTATTTTTTTTTTACAACTTGAATAAATAATAGAAGATGTAATAAGAGTTATAATAATACTATATATATCCTAACTTTTAAAGAATTTAATGTTAATTTTTATGTCGTTTGAATAATATAATATATATATATATATATATATATAATAAATAAGAAAGAAAGAGAGAGATAAACTAAATTAATAACATATTATTTTATCAAATTTAATTTAATTTAAATTTTTTCAATTCTTAATATTCGGACTTTATAAACTATAATAAAATAATACTATTTTAAATATTTAAAATTAATTAAGAACAAATATTTATTTTCTTTAAATAATTAAATCTTAGCAACAAATTTTTCTAAATAACTTCAATCAATCATTTGTTTCTAAATTCCACAAATTGTATTAATATTTAGTATCTAATCATAACTCATCAAGATAAATTTTAATCACAATTCATATGTCATTATTTCCATATATTTTCACACCATAAATCCAAGTTTCTCCGACAAAACAATCTCAGAGTAATATCATTCGTGTAATCTCAAGTTGCGAGAGACCTTGATAACACTCGATCGAGCACACGTTTGTCACAAAGTAATTTTGTTCCAAAAGAAATCATGGTCTTGTGGTCTTGAAATATTTCCTTAATCTTGAAATTTCCCGCATTTGAAGAAACTTACAGCTCGTAATGCGATTGTCATCTCTGTGGTTCTCGATGATGTTTGAAAATTGGTCGAGCCGCACTGACTATTATAGGATCGTCTATAGAGTGGCTTATATACGAGGACCTTCACCACGGTGGGTTAGTTCACGAAGAAAGCACTTGCTCGCTCTCTTTTCGACCGGCCGATCTCTTTCGCCTTCAATCTCGTCTCTCTCCATCTTCTCCGTTTTTTGTGAATAGTCCTCTCGCACGACTTAAGCTGGTTCAATAACCCGCAGGGAACCCGATACTCATAATGGAAAGAAAAGACAGAGGTAAAAAGTGTCTGTATATATGTGCATTTTTTTTCTCTCTTCAACACGAGTTGAAGATTGACAGACACGCAATCACGAAGAAGTACATCTTATTAGCAAAAAAGAAAAACCAATAATAGGTATCTTGAACTAGATGAATTTAAAGATACTCTTATATATTTCTAATCTGTAATAATTAATAAATAAAATTTTTAATTATTATAATATATTAACTAATATATTATATTATAAATTTAATATAAATGAAAATTAAAAGCAGATAAATTCTTATAATAATTATATACATATTATAAGAAAATATTCAGAAAATATAGAAAATTTATTAGCTAATTTCTTTAAGATTAATTTATAAGTAATCGCGTAGTTTTTTTGTTGAATAAATTTAAAGGCATGAGAAGACGAGGGACCACCAGCAACCAAGTAGTAATTTTGAGATATAACTTATTTTAATTTCCGATATTATACATAAATAATGTGCGGATGCAATCGAAAAACGAAACGTGTGTGTGATGCGAAGAAGAGAGTGAAAGGGCTATTGAAAGGCGGCGATTACAAAGCAGCAACAAAGTAAGAGGACCTGCAATCTGCTTGATCACTTTGTTCCAGTTCGACGTTCACTGTAGATGCGTAAGAATGCATTTGTTCCGCAAGAGAATGCGCAAGTTCATTATCAACCAATCGTGACGACAATATATTCACTTAATATCTTTATAACGATAGGATAATCTCGAAAAGAATCCATAGTTTTAGCATATCTTCCGGTTTCTTTATACAAAACTTATTTTATTCATTTGTTTAATATGTATTTTCTAATGACTTTTTATTTGATTTTATTTATTTTTACCTTCGGTTTATAAACATAAGTCTTAAAGTCTTATAGCATTTTTAGTGATTATTATTATCTTTTTTATGATTTATTTAGTTCTAATAATTTAGTACTTTATTATTATAAAATTATTTAATTATATTAATTTAATCATTTTTATTTATATTCAATAATATTATATGTACAGAGTGTCCTAAAATTTGTAATTCACCAGTTTATAAGAGATTCCTAAAGTTATTTGAAGATGATTTTTTCTCAATAAAAATGTCGAGGCACAAATAACTTTCGAGTTATAAGCGATTGAAAATAAAGGGATTTTCGCAAAATCAAGCCTTGCGGAAATAAAATATTAACAAAACTCCATTCTTCAATTAATTTCAAGTAGAGTTATTTTAATAGAATTTTAATTTAAAATTTAATTACAAAGTTACATGATGGCAAAAATTGGAAACATGCAAAAAAAATGATAGCTAACTAATTCGCGAATTTTGGAGCACATATACATACTTCTATATTAGTTTAAAAATTAATATTCTATTATAATAATTAAAAAAGATATTAATATAAAAAAATAATTTCGAAAAATCTAGTTTTAACTACAATTAATATCAATAAAAATCTTCGACTTTTTACGCGATATGAAAGCAAACACTAACGTGCACACATCTATATATATAATATACAAAGCTAATAATAATAATTGCAGCTATTAGTTTTCAATTTCTCAATTAACATGTGATTATTATTAAACCTCTTGGCGAATAGATTTACTGACTTTCATTGAAAGTGAGAGGAGAAAGAAAGGGCAGTATAGACAATTTTACTTTTGCTTTTGTTCAGTTTTTGTTTTTTCGCATTCTGTCAAGTTTCGCATAATTATCGCTTAAATTTGATCTTATTATAAACTAAATTGGTACATTATAATCTTAACTCTACAATCTCACAAAAAATCGTACGATAGAGAGTTTAGAAATTTTTAAAAATTTATTATTTTTACTCTATTTTCTTTCTCTCTCTCTTTACATAAATTAATAATTAAACAATATTTAATGATTAAATTTGATTATTTATAAAAATTATCAAAATTTAAGAATTAAAAGTATATTATTTTATTTTATATTGTATATGTATTATATATTATTTAATTGCGTGAAAAAATTATTAATTCAAAAACGATTATTCGAGAATTTAAGTTGTGATAAGATCAGAGTTTAAGTTTGTAGGCGAATGCGGAAGTGAGCGTGTGCAATAAAGCACCACTTCCTACCTTCACTTAACTTATAGTTCAAGCAGAACAAAGCCCCATTTTTACGTAATTTGCTTTTTAGCAAAGCCGGAGAAAGGTTTAAAAATGTACAAATCGAAACCATCGCTATCTCAATTGACTTATTGTTAGAGCGCGCTTGAAGCTACAGAAATCTCGAAAGCGATTGTTAGTTGAACAATAGTAAATAGCTAAAAAAATATACATTGAATTTTTCAATAAAGTTTAAAGATACAAAAAAATAAAAAATATTTATGTTAATAATAAAAAATATATCTTACTTTTCTATATTAAAAAAATATTATGTTATTATGTAAAAACATGTATAATATTCTTATTACCACAGTTATTTAAATTAGAATTAAAATAAAAAAATATGTATTAATCATATAAGCTTTCTATATAAATAAAAAAAAAATATTTATTATTCATATAAATGTGCCATTTTTACAAACCATTTAACATACACACATAAGTTAAATATAGATCAATAAACTTAAGCGCAAAACATCTCGACTCTGAAAACTTTCACAACAGCAGAAATTTATAAATACCATGCAGAAATTTAGCGAAAGTTATATATTATTGTTTAAATAAATAAGTCAGAAACTAATGCATTAGCACAAAGTTGAAATATAAAGTGCTCGCGTGATGGCGTTTTAATTTAAGAGCTGATATCTTACATTCATGTGTGGTCGATGATCTCCAATTTGATTGGTGCTCTCACTGCATAACTGCAAGTTCCAGTTTTATATCAAAAAATAAATTTCAGAGAGTTAATGACGCTTAGCTTATTTATTAAAAAATATTTTTCCTGATCGCTAACTTGAATTGCATGCACCACAAATTACATATTTAAGTATCGTAAACCTAAAGTTCCAAATAAAATTCAAAGTTTAAATTAAAATTAATTATTAAATTAAAATACTTTAGTTAATAATTTCTTTAAAATTTTGCAAAATTAAAAAGTAATATTGTGTAGAAATATTATCAAAATATTTCCATTAAAGTCGAATTACTGTGACAAAATAAATACGTTTCTATTCTATTTTTAAAATGTATTTTATCACTCGAGTACCATTTTAAAATAAATTAATTATCAAAAAATTAAAATAATAGTTTATCCAAGGGGTGATAGAATTACAAATAATACTATATATAGAGAAGAACTTGCTAAGAAGTCTTTTTTTATTGAAACTATTTGGAAATAAATACCTAATTATCTAAGATTATCAAGTATTATAAAATATTAATAGAATTTAAAAAAACGATAATATATAACAATCATAAAATTATTTATTAATTTGAAACTGTTAGATATAGTTTTATATTTCAAGAATATTATGATGGTTTAGGTATAAATAAAAAAAATTATATTTATAAAATTAAAATATAAAGAGATTTAATTTTTAAAATAATTTTAATATATTTTTTAGTTTTGAAATTTTTAGATACTTTAAATTTATATAAATTTTGATATTTTGTCTTCATATAATACTTTATAGTTATAATTTAAATTTCTTCTCCTAATAGCATGCAATATTAGCACAGTAGTGTATCGCAAGAAATGTATATACAGGCGGAATCAATCGAACGTTTACGATGTTATCTACATAGATGGCACCATCTTTATAATTATTGATCAAAAATATATTTAATAATAATTAATTAATATAATATAAATAAAAATATATCAATCATGTATTAAAAAATTAATTATGTTGTGTATTGCATTGTTTTATAAAATTTGTAAGTATAGCTACTACAAGTTAATTTACAAAATTTGATAAATAATAATAATAATACATACAAATAGTATGCATTATTTTTAAACTTTTTATTAAATTAATATTAAAAAATTGAAACATGTATACAACGATATACATTTATATAAAATTTTTTTTAAATAATATGATATTATCCAAATAGATATGATATTATCTATTTTAATTACCGTTAAATCATTAATTAATTATATGCGGAGACAATGAAAATAATATTTTATCATTTACCTCTGATTCTCTATTTATTGGCGTGATTAATCGCACTCTCGCCGCAATATAAATGCAGGATGAAGAATGCACGGAATGTTGTAAATTCTTGTCTGCGGTATTTCGCGAACGTGTCATATCAAATTCTCAAATCAACGCATCATTGCACGATGCACATGAACGATGTGCATAGACAAAAGCACTCAATAGAGTGAAAGTCCGCGCGCGAATCTCCTGTTTTGTTCACAAAGAGCCAGCGATGAAATTTTCGTCCGACGCTCTCTTACATCGTGTTTTACGTCGCCTTTTAAAAAAAATAATCGCCTTCACGTTCCCTTGACGATAAGTCTCGTTGTATCCCGCTAAGTGCCCGCCTTGCACAACCCAGTTTTCTTCTCTCGCGGCCTCATTATGCATTATGTTGATCCGATCCGTGCTGGTTGATTGCGATTTCTCGATTTACATATCCCTCTCGATACTTTCACACGTATGTGTGACACGTCGGTCCAAAGTTACCAATTATGTAACAGTTTACATTAAAATATACAAATACTTAGAAATACCAGGGATTATTGTTACATTAATTGTTTGCCTCTCGATACATCAAAAAATCATAAGCAGAGATAGTTCTTCTGTTTGTTAATATTTTTATATTTTTTTAATTTATAAAATTATTAAATATATTACTACGTTTAATTATAATTAATAAAAACTATTACTAATTTGTATAATTATTAATTTATCGTACATTTATTTATTTGAAATGTCATTTGTTCTATTTTTCTTTGTTTTATTTATCAAAATATAAATTGAAGAATTTATTATATAAAAAATGTCCGGAATTCACATTTTTGAAAAAACAAAGAGATAAAAAGGTTAAACATAAAAAAGGAAAATAATAAAAATAAAATAAAAAACAAAAATAAAAGTATTTCTAGCTATTATATAAGATTTTTACAACTTTATAAGACATAATCTCCATTTTTTAAGAGAATGATAAGATATACTTTAGAAAGATATAACTTTAAGAAGCTTTGAATAAATAAATTTAATTGTGCAACTCTCTTCTCGAGGAGTTGAGATTAATCGGTTAGACTTACTATAATTTTTACATTTTCTTCTTTTTTACGAACGAGTTTGACCGGATGCGATCAAAATATTACACGAGTTTCGGCCAAGACAAGTCGATCGTTGTCGTCAAGGTTGTGCTATCCAACGTTCGATTCAAGCTTCGGTCGTAAAAGGTGTAACTCGGCTAATCTATAAGGAACCCACATCTGTCCTCGGCTATGAGAAGACCTGGTCCCGTATTAATTTGTACGCATATTATGCAAGTATGCTGGAATTCAATTCTTAACTGCCTCATTTTCATTTTGTTTTTTTTTTTTTTTTTTCATTAGTTTTTAAGTGTGTAAATTATTTTGTATAAATATCTTTATTACTTCAAAAATAAATCGTGATCTCAATTAAAAATCAGTAAATTATGTTTTAGTAAGTTTCTTTAAAAATTAGAATGCTAAATTCAAATTCTTTGCGTGAAATTTCTGATTTTATTATGAAAGATAAAAAGTTACAATAGAAATAAATTTTTTGATAAAGAAAAATGTAGATACAACATATATTTACTTCTGTCATGTAAAAGGACACGCATATAAAGAAGAGTAGTTTGTTATTGCTAAGCTTGATGAATTGAAAAATATTGATTGAACAATTCGATTTATGCCTGAATTGTCTTTATGCGAGAATATTTATCACAAAAAAATATATATTCCGACGCTTAAAATAATATAATTATCCGTTATATAAAAACGCCCAATTTCTCCCCCGAATAATCGATTAGCGCGTGACGAATTTCTGCTTCGCAGATGCATCCCACTTGCGATTCTTCCCGAATGATCTTCCTGATAAGACGCTTTCTTATTTTTCCAGCTTTTAGATTAAACCCGTTTTATACGATCCATAATTTCTCACAAATTCTTTAGAGAACAGAATTTAATAATAATTCTAATGTTATTAATTTAAAATTTAAAATATAACGTAAGTATGTGTAATATAAAAAAATCTTATTTGTAGACTTATTATATTTGTACATATATTGATGATATAAATAAATTTTAATATAAATTAAATTAAGTTAATTAATACAGTAGAAAAAGGCGAGCTTTAACACGAGCAAATATGGATGTATAATTACTGTATTTAAATATAAATTTTACAATAAATTCATGCAAAACGTCACTTACTTGTGACTTGAATTAAGTTAATTTCAAATTAATCTTAAATATAATTAAAATTTCAAATGTTATGTTGTTTTTATATATTTATAATATATTATACATGTGTATTTTTATGTTATACAAAATTATATGAAAAAAACCGTACAGAATTATAAAAGCTGTGAAAGGCTTTATAACACACAATGTCTATATATGTAAAAAAATGGCAATAAGATAGTTTGTGAAAATAAACTCTTGAATTTTATTATACAAATTTTATATAGTCTAAAATGGACTTTATGCAACTTATTTTCGTATTCTCGAATCGGGAAACATGGAAATTTAATGTCAAGAGAGAGACAGAAAAAAAGTGGAAGATCGTCAGAAATTTTAATGTTTTCGTTATCTTATATTATCTCATTTTTACTTATGACCACCCATCAATTGCTTCCGGGCAGGTTTATGCAAAATATATCCGGAATCTGCGTACATAGATTTTTCGTGTTTGATAAGCATTTGACATGCTCTGAACACGAAACATCACTACGACAGGTTAATACTCTCAAGCTCTTCTTCCACGCTTACTTTCAATCTCAATAAGTAGGTCAAAATAAAAGTGAGAAACTCTCAAAGAGGTAAAAAGTTAAAAATAATATTTTAAACTTTCCGTTCTCTTGATTATTTTTAATTATGAAGCCTTTTGCATAATTGTATGCTGTATTTTATAAATAAATTAAATTACATTAATAATATAAAATTTGTGTTTTGGAAAATGGAACATAATATATTCATTATAAATAGTATGTTTAATTATTATAATAGAGAGATAATTTAGAGAATATAAAAGGAGATGTGTTACGAAATACTATATTATTATGGAGAATTTTTATTTTAAATATTCCTGTTGATCTACGATGTATGAAAATATGTGAGAATAGAATTATTAAATTTTCTATAAATAATAAACATATATAATTTCTTTTATATTGATAATTATAAATAAGCTATTTTTATATGTTTACATGATAAATATAAAGGAGTGTAGTTCACAGTGCATATTGCAAAAGAATTTAAAAGTCACCACCACCTAATAACCGATTTATAAGCAATGGCCTTGTTCCAGCGACATTTTGACGAATTTGCAAGTTTCAGGTTCCTTCTCGAAACAGGATTTTATTAAGAAAATAATCAATCGTTCTTCATTTTTAAGCCTCTTTTTTATCTGTTTCTGGAAACTTTTTTATATATATAAATATATACTAATTAATAATATATTTATCATTATTATTATTATTATTAAATTAGAATATACAACATTAATAAATTAAAAAACAACTTTTTTTATTTTCTCTTTATTACTTCGAAAGAGTAAGATTTATTAATAATTATTAGTAAAAAAATGTAGATGCATACGCATATTTATTGTTATATATTATTATAATTATTTTGCCAATATATTAGAAATATAATCTTCGATAAAAAGTATAGTAAGTAGTCATATATGTTGCGACATATCAATTTATTCCATTATAGAATGTTTTCTAAAATCACAAAATGTTATTACAGATTCTGTGATAAATTAGAACATCTATAATAAATATAGTTCTATATCTTTTGTAGTTAAATGAATTATTATTTACTTGAATATAAATGCAAAAGTGACACAAAAGTCGGCTATTCAATAGACCATTAATCACGTCGATTCATTAATGCTTTTTAACGCATAAAAGCAATGTCAAACTAATCACTTAACCTGATATATAGAATGTCTATATAAAATGTACTAACTACCGTTAAGAGAGTAGCAACATCCAATCGGGCTATACAAGAAAAATACATCAACGTATCCGATCGAAGGATTGCTGCACAAATCTTGTCTCACAATCGAGATGCAGTACGGTCCATTAAACCTTATAAAAATTCGCCGTTTATTCGATATCGAATCCTTTAAAAGGCTCCCACGCTTCTGCTGGCGATAAAGACGAGTGAGATGTACGAGTTTAAATCGCATTTCAAGAAAGAGAGGAGCAAGAATATACAGGAAGAAGCAAGAGGCCAATGGACCTGCAAAATTCCGCGAAATGTGGAATTGGCGTGAGATAATCATTCGCATAAATCATCATCATCATTTACCTAGATTCGGCTCCAGCCGAAAGTGAAGGTTCTCGTTGAAGGATGAGAATCTTTCTTGTAAGGATGGAGGATAATGGAATATGGTGTCGATTCGTAGACAACAACACCATCGTCATCATTACCATAATATATCCGACATTCCTCATCTATTCAATGATTTCGGGGAGCAGCGAGCGAGAGAGAAGTTGATTCGGTCAATTAAAAAAATCTAGTTCTGCCAATGCCACGCCGAATTGCGACACGCGAAGGAAGATCGTTCGTGAGGAAAAGGAGAGAAGGACCAGAGACGGACTTCGGAGTATAAAAGGTCGAAATGTCTCCGGGCAGATGCTCAACTCATCGCCCTGACACCACACGGCTAACATGAAGCTCCTTCTGATCACGTCCGTGGTAAGAGACCGCCTTACTTCTGCGATATCGTCTCAACCCCGCGATTGCGATTGAAGGTGTCTTCCTTTTAAGTGATTTTGTTTTATTAATGACAATGACCAGTGCATTGTGATCAATTAAGTGAATTAGTTGAGTCGAAATTTCATATTCTGTGACTCGACTAATAGTTGAGAAAATATTTTAAGATATAGCAGTCAAACCAATTTTTCTTTCGTATATATTATACAGTAATAGTTCTAACATATTAAAAGTTCTTTTTAGAATAATATTTATAATGGCTTAGCTTGATAATAATTATTATTTAAGAAGTTCGAATTCTGGGTATAATAATGACAATAATCATTTTTAGTGTATGCTAATAAAATTAATTATTGCAATAATTTTTATAATATATCAAATATGTTTATTGGAAAGAGATTTTAAAAGAAAAAATTATCTTTTTCATCAATTGTTTGATAAATTAACCGCGTGTAATTATTATTAATTATTATTCCACTAAAATATTTCGTTTTTATATATCGATATAAATATTCTCTTAAAAATCAGGCAGTTTTTTAAAAATAAGGTTAATAAGAAATTAGCAAACTGCCGCGAACTATAAATTATTATTATCACATCCTGTTTGCATTCAGTGACTTTTTAAAAAATAGATGAAGTCATCGCAAACAACACTAATTCGATAAATTCTTGCATTAAGTCATTCATTAAAATGCATGAATCCTGTAACAATTTCATAATATTCAAATTTAATTGCCAAGATCAATGCAAAATTGCGTCAAGACGACATAAATAAGGATGATGATTCAGTCCAGCTTGTCCGCAGCCGTGTAAAAAGCGATGCAATAAATCTAAATAATAGTTTGTAAATGTCTCGAAAGAAATTCTTTTTTATTAAGTATCCTCTTGAATCTTCTAAATTTGTTCGCTCTAAAATTATATTTTTGATTAATACACCAAATGCTACATTTTCAGGTCTGCTTCGCGGCAGCTCTAGCAGCGCCTGCTGATAAGCAGAAGAGGGAAATCTTGCCGGGCGATCCGCGCTACGGAACCGACTATCATCATCATCATCATCATCATCATAACGACCACGACAACGAAGTACAGATCTCGAAAGCCGCCGGCGGCTACGTAGGTTCTATCACAGTTCCGGATGAGACAGAAGGCCACTCGCAACCTCATACGTCCTATGGACCGCCCAACTATAATCCCGGCAAGCCCTTAGGCTCCGATTATGCTACGTCAAGCGACAAAAATACTGCCGTCCAGGTGCCAGCCACCTCTTACGGAATACCCGACCTTCAGGTAATCTGATCTGTCAATTAGAATATTTTGTCGAAATCGTTCAAATGGATTCAATTAAATACATTTGGTTTCAAATACTTGGCTTGTATTGCCACCTTTTTCCTCGATTTAAAAGCTGTTTAATAATATATTCAAGTTATTAACATTAGGAGAAATAATATATTAAAAGACATTATTTTTAATTTTAATTAAAATTATGGAGATTAAAAGTATGTATTATATATTATATTATTCGAATTATTCAAAGTAAAGTTTTTAATTTACGTATAACAATAATTAATAATCTTTTAAACATAAAATTGTTCTTTAATTTATTACATTAAATTTAACATAATTTGTGCATACAAATATATTTTATAAAATTTAATTATTCAACAACGAGTTATATACTAATTAGACTTTGATTTATTATTGTGCAGCTTAACACCCTCGAACCAGGAGTTGAAAAAAAATCGAGTGCAGTTGTCCAGGTACATCAATCATATTATGCTTTCGTGATCACGTAATATTACTTTCTACAAGTTCATAAATTAACTGGCAGAAAATATTTCCACTTTTCTTCATCAATTAATATCTGTCAAAATAATCACTATATCCCCACAATCCCTGCAATCTCGCTCTTTACTCAAATATATATCAATCGAAATTAGTATTTCGAACTATATAAAGATGGGTTATCGAATGTCTAGAATTAAAAGTCTTTCCCGCGTTTCTAAAAAATGCACGTAATATATGCAAAGTAAAAAATATAATTTTTTTCTTACTTTTTGTTCAAGAATAAGATTATTAAAACATCTAATTATGTTGTTAGAATTCTAAGCATAATTGTATAATAAATTTTAAATTTAATACGAGGCGCATAATATTACAAATTAATGTTATAATTTATATATTATTTTGTTCAAGAATATATAGAAAATATTAATTAATATTACAAAGCACAATTTAATATTTAGTATTTAACTTAGTTCAGAATATTTTCTTACTGCGTGTTTGATTAAAGACCAACTTGAACGCCGATTATCAAGCACCATCTGTCGAAGCGCCTATCACTTCTTACGGCGTTAAGGTAGGCACTATTCCGATAAAATTCAATGTAGTTCGAATAGGTAGTATAATGTTAGAATAAATAAAAAGACGTAAGGAATATTATATATTGATAAAAATAAAACAATTACAAATAGGTCGCAGTATTATAATATTTAGTGAATAAACTTCACTCAAAGTCATCATGTATGTTTATGCATTTCTTTGCTTTCAGCACGAGGAACCTGTTGAGCCACAGACTTCGTACAGAACCGGGGTGAAGGTACAATAATTAATTAAATTTATAATTATTTATTCAACGGGAAATATTTTAATAATGTATGAATAACACCGGTTGTATTTATCTTATTAAATATTTACTTAAATGCTCAATTCAAATCATGCTAATGTTAAAAAAAAGATTTTTAATTTTGTACTAGCCTACTGTAGAAATTTTTGTCACATATTAATAAACACTTCGTGTAACTTAAATGTTTTCTAGACCGTCTATGAGCATCCTCCAGTCGAATCTGTGCAGGAAAAGGCTGTTCCTGAAGTCCATCACGAAGTTCACCACGTGCCGCAAGTGAAGACAACAACGCTACCCATCGAGACTCAAGGTGAGTGTTGACCTATCGAAAATTTACGACGACGATGACAAGGATTTACGATTCTTGCTGAAGAATCTAAAAACTCTTTCTCTTGTAATATCGCGTGTGAACGCCTTCACGTCGGATTACATAAGATTTTGGAAGTTTTCACAAAATTCTGACGGTCGAATCTTCCTCTCGTGTGTCGAGGTCGTTTATAGAAACCATATAGAAATATTCTAATGCTTGACGAATGTCGCGATGACACACGAAAACACTTGTTATTTGTCACAGTCTAAATTCGCTTTGCTTTCGAAAATAAATGCAAATGTATGCTCGCCATGAATATTAATTATGTTATACAATTAGAGAGGCTGTTTCTTTAATTTTTCATGCTATTGGCTCACTTCATGTTTCATCAGAAATTTGCATATTTCTCTTTACGCTCTTAAATTCTTTATTATTTCCTGTGTAAACTGTAAATTTTTACAGTGTTAGAGATAACAGTAAATAATTAAAAAAAAATGTTCAAAAATAGATTAATTATATAAATAAAAATTTTTAAAACTAATATTTTCAATTATTTACTGTTATCTCTAACACTGTAAAAATTTACAGTTTAATATATGTACATATATTAAACTGTAAATTTTTACAGTGTTAGAGATAACAGTAAATAATTATATATATAATATATATAGGATATATATATATATATATATATATATATATATATATAATATGCATATACATATATTATGTTGTCACATTATAATTAATCTCTTATAATTATCTTTTTGAAAATGTGTTCACAGAATTGAGAAAAAATATGGTTTGCAATTAATTTTTCTTGAAAAATCATAAGAATAATTAAAAGTAAACTCAAAATAGTATTGTGTCCAAAGATTGTAAATAATTATCACAGAAATATCACAAATATCAAAGTTATGAATTATTATAAATTATAAATTTCTAATAATTTTATATATTGTAATATTTTATTTTACATTCCTATTATTATTAAACTTATTAATTATAATAAAAATTACGTCAGATAAAAACAATACTTCATGAAAAATAATATATATCATTTTATTTCAGGAGACCACCACAGCGTAAGCAGCCTGCCTTCCTACACCTCTTCCATCAATAGTTTCCCTAACTACTTCTACTCCTCGTATCCCTCGTATCCCTCGTATTCCTCGTACAGCAACATACCGGTGAGGACCGTGGACCACAACGTTCAAGTGCAAGTACCCCAACCGTACCCGGTACCAGTAACCAAACACGTATCGTACCCAGTTCCCGTTCCGCACCCAGTCGAAGTACCCAAACCCTACTACGTCCGTGTGGCCCAGCCTGTTCCGGTGACTGTGAATCGTCCTTACGCCGTAGAAGTGCCCCGTGCGGTGCCGTATCCCGTTCCCCATTACGTCAGAAGCAACGTTCCGGTTGTACAACACCAGCCGATTGTACAGCACCAGCCGATTGTACAGCACCAGCCGGTTGTACAGCACCAGCCGGTTGTACAGCACGTAACCACGGTGGACGCCATTAAGGCGAGCAATCCGATCGAGGGCTTCTTCGAGAACGCCCAGACGACGTTCCAAAACGTGGTCGGTAACCTGCCCTTCCAGAACGCATTCGACGGCTTCCAAAATCCCTTCCAGAACATCCCAAATCCCTTCCCAAACTTCCAACTGCCGAGTTTCCCTGGATCGCTGTTTCCCTCGGCGACTCAGCCTTCAGCCCCAGCGAACAACAACGTTAACGTACCGGCATCGACTCACACCGATTCGATCGCGGTCGACAATCCGGTGCTGAAGACCGAGACCATAATTACGAAACCAGTTGTTCATCACGCAAAGGTTCAAACGACACAATTTAAACCCGCCACCACGTGCGCCGGCTGTAGCGTCAGCGCCACTCAGCACCACATCAGCACCAAGCAGAAGGAACACTCTACCGACGCCAACGGTGGTTATAATTATTAAAATGTTTCTCTTGTAATGAACGTTGTAATGGAATTTCTCAGTGAAAATGCCGAACGATTGCTCGACGTGAGAATTTATTTCTAAAGTGTTGGATTGATTGAAAAGTTCGTTCCCTCCAAACCAGTCGACTTTCATTGATATTTAACTCTTAGATATAGACAATAAGAGAGGAGTATTTTTAATATCCTTGATTATAATTTGAAAATATCTTATTCTTTCAGATAATTTTTAGAGAAAATAGTTACGTCACACAATAGTTTGTTTAAATTTATATAAAATTATTTGCTAGAAGACAATGTATACATATCTAAGAGTTAAATAAAAAATTCCTGTTTTTCCTTAATTTTAAATATAAAATTAAAATAAAATATAAAATTAAATATAAAAGTCCTATATTTTTAAGTTACCTCTCAACTATCTATTATATAATATTTCTTTAAAATATTATTTTTGAAAAAAATGTAATTTTTAACATTTAATTGTGTTATTTATTCAATTACTTACTCCGTTTGATGTGTATAATTTCGAATTTATTTTCAACTTTTTGTTTATGTCAACAAAAATAAATAAACTTCTCAATCAAATAAATATTTCATCGAAAATAGATATAAACAAATATAATAACATAAAACAGGTGGATAGAAATTATTCGATAAAATATGTATATAGCATATAAATACAATAGATGTGATACGATCTAAATAATAGCGCAAGATTTAATTGACGTCTTTTAAAAACATAGATACTAGCCAGATGCCGTCAAAAGAATTATAAAATTAAAGAACACTTTTTACACGTAAATAAAATTCTTTTATTACAAACATTGGACCACTTATTGATTCGATGACGTTTGGTTTTCCAAATATATCAATGCAAAAGACCTTATAAAGATTGATACAGAAACAATTTGTCACAAAATTCATGAATAATAGAGTAACAATAATTAAAGTAATTGCAGCTCATGTGCAAACTTCCATAACAATTTGCCCATTACTAATCTAAATAACACAGAAAAATTGAGATCTACTATAAAAGAACATTGCAATTATTATAATATTCCAGATAACAAACTGATATCATTTTGACGTTTAATGACGTCAGTTTGTTACCTGGGACATTCTATAAATTTCACGAGTTTATTGAAAATATTTATTAAATTATGTTATTAAATAGTTTGTTGTTTAATTGCTATTTCTTATAATTATATAAATTATCAAATTAACATAAAATCTATTTTTGAAAATACATATTTTTAAATATTTTTTCTGCTTTCATAATCCTATTATATAATTCTAAAAAAATATTACAAATATTTATTATATAATGTTGCATTAACAGAATTATCAAATATTAATCAAAATCTTTATATCTTGAAATTTCAATTGCGCGTTAAATTCTATGATAAATCGAATTCATACATTATTATTTTGAATAAAATAAAAATATGCATATCATTATTTGATTAAATTAATTGTTGAAATTAATGGCTATATACATATATTTTTATTTTTTTCTCTTTTTTGCGCATGTGTTTTGCACGTGAGCTTTATTGATTTCAAATGATAAATATTTGATTGGTCAACAATAATTAAATAACGACGCACCAAGGCTACCTTTTTCTGTGTGTTGTAGCTGCAGTCGCTACCACAGAAGACACTTTTTCGATGGATTCATGTTCGATCCTGCGGGACAATTCCATGCAATGTTAAATTCTTTGGAATTTCTCAATACTGCTTGAAGCCTCACGTGGGCGGGGCTGTGAGTGTCCTCCAGCATCCACTTGACTGACATACCAGTATAAGACGAGCACCACAACTAAAATCAATAAATATTTGCCTATAACCTTCGAAAAATTAAAAGTTGCGAGAAAAATTTAAAACTTGAGGATCAAAATAATATAGATAAAAGGGAAATTCTCAGAAGGGGAAGGACTCAGAAATGAGGCAAAGACATGATAATAGAATTCAGGAGAGTCGAAATTACCAAATATTATTCACAATTTATTGCCATTGATTTGGAATTAATGCCTACTGTGATTTATTGATATTGATCTCACTATCTTTAAACATCTTTGATTTATCACGAATGATTGAGAGATGACATTTAAATGAGAGCCATGTTTTCAGCGAAGGCCATCAGCTACAACGCGAGTTTTAGTTTCTTATAACTACAAATAAAACAAAAAGAAAACAAATATAAATCCAGTATTCTATAAATTGGCGATTATCGAATCATTGAAAAATTAAGATTTAAAAATATATGATCTTTCGATAATTTAAATGAGTTAGACGAGCCAAATTGCTTAAGTTGTCCTAATCCTATTAAATGTTTCATCACTGTTTAAAAAAATTATTTAATCACATTCTTGGAGCGATTTAGAATTGATTTTTCTTCAACAAAAATCGTAAAAATGAGAAATTATATTAAATTATATTTTATTTCATATTATATGTTATTTGCTTCTTAATATATATTCTCATTTAAGTTAGTAATTAATTTAATTAGTTTATTTTATAATTTAATTAATTTTTTAAATTATTTAATTTGTTTATATAAATTAACTTAATTTAAATACGTAGATATTTGAGAATCGCCAGACAGAATTTAAAAAAAGGTAAGAATCTTCTCTCGACCGTACTGACAAATATTATTTATTCAATCATGATTGAATAAATAATATCGTGATTGAATAAATAATATTTGCCAGTACGGTCGAGAGAAGATTCTTACCTTTTTTTAATTTAAATAATTAGTACATATATAACAAAATTTACATAATAAATTTGCCAATTTGATCAACTAAAAAATGTTTTTAAATCATTCTGTATAACTTGACATAATTTTTCTCATTTTCTTTAATTTCCTTTTCTTCATTTCTTTTTTATTAATTTAATTCTTAATTTTGTCATCTTTTTGTAGCATTAAATACTGACCATCTAAAGTGTCATAGAACTATTTAGAGTTTCAATTCTAAGATTGTAGCTAAAAACTAGCTATTACATGTGGATTTTTTACTTACATGTCCGAAGGCGAGAAAAAATAACTGTTCGTGTGTGACTTGCGTAAATCCCGGAAGTAAAAGCTCTTGGCCATGCTGAGCCTTCCATATCCCATAAGCGAAGAAAGCCTCGCGAAGACCCTCATTGTCAGCGATGTTTTCGCCCAAAGTCAGCTCACCGTCGACGTGATCGTCGATCTATGCGAGATGTATTTTTAACATTTTGACATGCTCGGGTCATTCAACTCTTCAGATACGAAACGCAAAGATTTAATTTAGGATATAATTCATAGTAGAAAAAGGAGCATTTAATCGTGTATTACTCGAATTAACTTTAAAATTTTCTTCTAAATATAAAATTAGAAAAGTCAAAATTAAATCAAATTAAAAATTTTTAATTAAAATGTAAATTAATTAAAATTTTAAAGAGACAATATTTATTTGCGCAGAATATTTATAAATTAATTTTATTTATTTAACAAATATTAAATATACATACAATACATATATAAATGGTAATTTTTCAAAAAGTGCTCTTTTTGTTTCTTTTATAATCAAGTTTCATAAAATTACTTTTTTATGTGCAATGTATAAAAATGCTACTTATGATATGTGCTTACCTCGTCTTCGTAATAAGTATTATAGTGATCTATAAAGCATTGAGTCCTTTCATTATACTCTGAGATACTCTCATTAGTCCACCATTCCCGAATATTTCCATTACTATCGTAGTGCCGACCGCTGTCATCAAATCCATGTGTTAATTCGTGTCCAAGTATTGAACCAATAGCGCCATAATTCAAGGCTCTGCGATTGAAATTAATTAACAAATTACTAGTCGATCTCTTTCTTATCCGATGTGTAAATAGTAATAAACGTCTTTCTAATAAAATCTGCTTTTTAAATTTTATTTTCTATTTTTATAAAGATAATTATAAACTAAATTATTCCTATTCTTACTCGAGACCCAATTCATAGAATGGGAAATGTAGAATTCCGATAGGTACAGCTGCATGAATAGTGAAAGAACGGAAGATTTATATTAACGTAACATAGATATAAAATAATCAGAGAAGAAACTGTTTTTTTTTTAATTAAATACATTATTAATAATTTAATATATTTGTATCTTTTTAATAACAAAGCAATAAAAATTACTTTTTCAAAAAAATCTAAATTTTTATTTTTATTTTATAAAACTTTTATTACTTTATTATATTTTTATTAATAATTAATAATTAATTCTTTCTTTTATCAAATTATTACATACTTATGCGATTAATTTGAAAGTTGTGAAACGCATTTACTTCAGTAGGATCGCTCGCCCAGCTGATTATCCAAAGAAAAGCATGCAAAAAGTAAAACTTTACTATTGATTCATTTTTTTATATAAGGCAATTTGCTAAACTTTTACTTACTCTAACCACTTGTTATTGTCGTGCAGGCTCCCCCACGAAGCGTTCCATTGTAATTGAATTGACTGTACCATGTTATCCAAATACTTCGTTTTTGAAAAATCTATCTAAACATTAACAAATCATGTTACAGAATATATTATTGTTTATACACATACAAATTATAATTAATATATTAAAATTAGACAAAAAGTAATATCACGTTATACTATAAATTTTTAGAGTAAAAATTAAGTAATTATTTTAATTCCTCTTTATAAAAATACTATATTAATTAATAGAATTATTATCGATTATTTCGCGTATAAGATAAAATATATATAAAAATAAATATACAGTAAACTACAATGAAATAAAAAAAGCATACTTTTTATATTCATTTTTTGTAAGTACAGAACAAGATTTCGTTTACATGTTCTGCTTCAATTGCACTTATTCTTTATTCATATATAAATATTTGTTTAAGCTCTATATGATATATAATTATTATATAAATTTTTTAAAACTCTTACGCCTTCGTAATACTTGTTGAGTTTCTTTTCATTAAAGAGCCATGTGGGAAATCCGATTTCAGAACTCATTTTCCGATTTTTCTCAAGCATCGCCATTTTCGTCGATGAATCTATCCAGTCTGTTCTTTCGACAAGCAAAACGAATGCTTCTCTTATGTTCTCCCACATCTCCATTACTTTACGAACTTTATTATTATGGAATGTCGGATCTACAAATAACCACGATGTCGCCATTCCTGCACAAACCGATGAATATCATTCATTGAAAGTATAAAAAAAAAAAATATATATATATATATATATTACAAAAATTTCGATTATTTAATAAATCTAACTTAGAAAAAATGTTTTGCTATTGTGTTACAAATCAATTATTTATAAAATAATTAATTATTTATTTATGAAAAATTATTTATAAATTTTTTATCAAAAATTAATTAGAAAATATTTAAGTATGATTACTATATCATTGTGCATACCCATTAAGTCATTGACAATTGATGCGCAGTGCAAAGATATGGGTTCTCTTATATCCATTTGCAATAGTTTATATACATATGTGGACCAAATGTCTCTGAGCTTCTCGGAAGAGTGAGGTACCACGTCGTCTACGACGGACCACCAAATGTAACTTTCTAAATCCAAAATTAAAATATCTCTTTTAATTACTAAAATTTTCAAATTTGAATATCGAGAAATTAAAATTGAATTAATTAAATAAAAATTAATTAACGAAAACATGCACACCTATTTCTTCTTCATCTAAAGTAGAAAGAATTAAGGCAGCGTTTTTCAAATATTCCAAATTGCCGACGAGAATTATATCTTTTTCATCGAGATCTAACGCGACGATTCCATCGAAAAGAAATTCAACGAAGGATCGCCACAACGGTTTAGGTGTAAGAGATGAATTAACTTCCATGATATATTCGTCCGTCAATTTTTGGAGATCATCCACCAGCATGTAATCTTTATCACTCAAATTCTCTTCAGAAAAGGTAAAATTTTTATTTTCAATAATCATCTGCAAAAAAAGTAAACTTTAATTCTTTCTTGAATTAAATATCGCATTTTTATATTTAAAAATAACTAGACATTTTTAGTTTTTAATATAATAATATAGTTACAAATACGATAGTATAATACACCATTTTTTTCTTTCTTATTTTCATCCTTTTCTTGAAAATAATTATATTATTGTAAAATTATTATCTCTTAAAATATTTTTAAAAGATATCAATATTGTGTATTTAAAAAAATAGATTATTTGCATCAACAAATATATTTATGTAGACATCAACATCGTCTCTCGAATCATCTCTTAAATTTTAATTCAACAGTCTTCTTTATTCACGCAAAAAGAGGTTGATTTAAAAATAATTTAATTAAAAAATTATTCTTACATGATGAATCATGCTGCTAATTTCATAAAGCGTTTCGACAAAGTCTTCTAATTTCTCCGCTGGCACCTTAAATTCATCTTCCGGAGTGCAAGCATTAACAGTGCCATTACTAATAACTTGTTTAATAACTTCTATCATGTAAACCAATTCGGCATCTTCCTCATCGCTGGATAAAAATTCATCTAAATCTTCCAACTTTCGCAATCGCGATCTAATAGTATGCAGCCGCTTTTCCAATTCTCTATCGCTATTATTAAAAAAAATGTTTTATATATATACATATTTATTTTCATATTAATAAAATTATATTAATTATATATTTAAAATACAAAGAAAAGTGAAATTAAAATTAAATATTTAATATTATTAAAATTAGCATATATGTATATGTATAAATACACTAATTTGCATTTTAACTAATATACATAATGAGAATTTAAAAATAATAAAATTGAAAAATTTTTAATAAAAATAATTATACCTGGGAAAAGGACTAGAGTGACTTGGAGTGTCGAAATAAATCACGTTTCTGGTGTTGTTCTTCGGATCGGACGCAACTTCGATACCGAAGAAAACGTCAATACCCAGAATTCTCTTCACCTTAGCCATTAGCTGGATGTAATTAGTCGTTTCATTAGTAAGACCCGCAGGTATTACAGGCAAATTCAGTAATTCCAACAGATCATACAATGGGGACAAATTGAGCTCGTTCAGCGTCCCTAACAAATTTAAATTTCTATAAGAAACACTTATATAGCTAATAAAAGATAATTAAAAAATGTTAATATATATTATTTGTTGTTAATATATATTGTGTGTTGTTATATGTTTCTCTCTCTTTGCAGCATTAATTTTTTCGCCATAATTCTGATTGACATCTACCTAATTAGACAAAAACGGCAACGTACGCACGTCCATGCAGCTGGTGAACAGCGTCTTGGCCTGCATCACCGCCCAAGGCACTTCGCTTTCGGACATATTAACCTTTAAAAGATCCCTGATTTTTTTGATCACGCGATCGTCACGTTCGTTGAACCAGGAATTCGACAGGCTGAAATCCGAAATGGGATGCTCCTCCGACCATCTGCCGCACACATATCTAAAGAAGAGACGTTTGCGTTTCGCACAAAAACGATAAATGAGTATTTTAATAATTTAATTGTCAAACAGAAAGAAAAACATTTAATAAAACCGTGTGAATCCAAAGTAATAAAAATATTATTAGTTACTACGCTATTCCAGAGAAATAGCGCGTAAATTCACACGCGGTGCTTCACGCAAGAGCAAGTGAAAGTAAAACGCGCGAGTGCGATATATTTTGCGTAACGTAATTAATTAGAATTAATTAATCTGAAAAATATCGCATACGCAGGTGAATCGAACGACTAATGCACGACACAACAGTAATCTACTCACTGATGAAAATCATCGCAAGGATCTACAGAGGTGTCCATAGATTCCTTCAAACTAGCAGCTAGGTGAAGAGAAAGAAAGAAATAATTGTTTCCGGAATTATGTGATTGTATGCTATACAATTCTCTCTTTTTAATTTCTCTTCAGTTTTTTTTATCTAACGAGTGACAGCGTAAATAATAATGGATTATAATAATTATATGTTGTGGCTCACCTATTCGCACGCAATCCTCGCTCTCACATATCTTCATCATGCCGCTGTGCGCATCTGCAAAAAGAATAATCGATATACAGAGTATTCCAATAGTATTGGATGTCTTTTTAAGCACGACTTCTCTTAGACTATTTTTTTTAATATTGCATATTTCCAATTTCTCTTTAATATATATACATGCATATATTGTATATACATAATATTCATAACTTTTACACGTTACGTTTTGTCACATTTTTTATTTTAGTTTAAAAATTTTTTTATTTATCTTTTTTTTCAATTTTTATTCATTTCTTACACATCTTACGCGCGCGTATTTATTTAATTTAAAATTTTATAAATTTTTAAATAAGATTAAAACTGATTAAATATTAAAATTAATTAAAAGATAATTGTATCATTTATTTTCAATTATCCTTAATATATTCAGAAATGCGATATTTTCGATAAAGAATTAATTCCGAAATTGTTCAAGGTAATTACAATTGGAAGGATATCCACGGTAACTCTAGAGAAAGTACATAGCATAAATTGATTATAGAAGCAATGTACCCACGTAGAATTGTTATACGTGATAAGCACGTAGGAAGAAGTTGTTTCAAACAACACATATGATGAGTTACTATACTATTTATAGCCATTCTCTCGCTAAAATATTTACATATAATGTCAATGCGGCGATCGAACATATACTAAATGATTCTCCAATAATTCGTCAAGGATGACTAATGTAATTGCAAATAAAAAAAATATATCAAAGTATCATGAGAGAATTGACTCACTTCTTTTTTAATAAATAATATTTCCGGTGTTTGTCGTATCTGTTATCAAGTTATATCTACTATAATTTTAATGAAGTTAACTTACAAGGACTTATGTTTGAAGGTTTCATATGTGTATTGTACAACATTGCGTCATAAAATGACATTAAATTGTAAATTTAACAAATTCGAAATATCGTAAAGAAATATATCATAATACTTTTATCAGTTTGCATTATGTTTATAATATGTATTATAAATAATTTAATAAAAAATTATATACGTGTAATTTACTTTAACTTTATCTTAATTTATACATTTTAATTTTTTCGAATTTTTAGTTTTTACTTATATGCATAATTTTTAAAGATGCACTATACTACTCCAACAGAGAGAGAATACTTACAAAGTATTGCGAGTACCATGACTGTTACCAGCAAGGAACACACCAGAAGGCACAGAATTATCACCAATAGAAAGGAGATTTGAATCCGTTTCTTGAAGCTGCAAATACGATGAATCTGACTGGCGAAGACTTGAATTGGTCTATTTGCGGCGAGCAAATGCACATTTTCGGTTTAATGAAATAATTTAATGAACCGGCATTAGTTAAAAAAAATGTCAATCAGTCTCTTACTTACTATGTTTTCTTGGATCTTACTGATACCAAGTGATTTTGGCTTCCGATCGAGTAAACCGACCCTTCATCTTCTAAAGAAAAGAAAAATGCAAAAGTCTTAATAGCGGCTAAGTTGCAATTCAACTATCAATAATATGATATAAAAAAATTATTAAATTTGCACATCTAAAATTAATCATTATTTCTATAATAAATCTGTTTTTTTTCAAACAATGTTTATAATCGTTAATTTATAATGTGATAAACAAAAAATTAATATGTTAATATGAGAAATATTTATGAATACAAATTTATGGATAAGAAAATATACTTATAGCTTTTATTTCTATTTTTATTTATTTTTGTTTAATTTTTTTAGAAAATATTTTATTCTAAATTGTAAATAATAATTTATATACTTAATAGACATACATAAAAAAATAAATTTGAAAATTTTCAATGTTTAATTATATCTTACTTTTAAGTATATCTTACTTTTAATTTATCTCAAAATGAATAGAAGATATCGTTATATTTTCTTTAAAAAAATATGATATCGTACAATCCGCATGCGACAATATATCTATTTATTCTATTTTCATAACCTGGTTTTGTTATTGCGCTATCAAAATAAGGTCATCTATGTATGCAATTGACATTTAAAAAGACAATAAAAATAAAATCAATTATTATATACATATTACATATAAAAAACTAGAAGCTTGATTTTTTTAATATTAATATCAAAAATTTTATATTGTTCGCTTCTTCCGATCTGCTTAAAATATTTCAAGTAAAAAAAGTATTTGCTCTTCTTATATTAATCTCGATATAATGTTATAAAAATGTATATATACATATATAAAAATCTTGACATAAGCGTAATCTTAATCTAAACATCTTTAATAAACATATATACATATAAATAATGTTCTTTACCAATAATAAAATAAAAATGGATTTCTGTAAAATATGTGGTATTTAAATTAAATAAAGCGGACTTAAATTATTATATAATATTATTAAAATTCTGAAAAAATTTCTGTAAATCTATATCTTTCTTTTTCAATTAACTTTTTATATTTTGATATTTTATGCCATGCGATTTTTTTCCTCGAAGATCTCAACATATTTCCCATTTTATTTCTTAAACAAAAGATACAAAGTGAGCAATTAAAAGAAACAGACATTATTATTAATATAAAATCTGAATCGTTATTATTGTCATTATTATTATAATTATTAAATTCCCTGTTATTGTTATAATTATTAAATTCCTTGTTAATTTTTTTTAATAATGATAAAACGAAAAAATGAATTTTTCTCGATTTGAACTTTGGTAAAACATAGCGAGATATACGAGAACTCTAGCAAGTTATATATACGGTGCAGGAAAAGAAAAGGTTGGCAAAGATAGACTGGCGTAAAAATATAACTCACTGCGCTCGTTGTTCATGCTGAATGGCCCACTGACCGGATCGAACTGACGACACTGAATACCGAGTAGGGTCGTGCAGACAACGTCGGGTGTCCATACGTTCACATTTTCCCAGCGGTACTCGTGCTTCTTCGTTGAACCAACAGAAATAACGATGACCTGAACGTCAATTTTCCCATCCGTCTATCCGCGATAACACTCACGCATAACACGCCTGCGAGAAATCAACAACTGATGTCTTTCGATCATTGTTGATATAGCTCCAATCCTTTTGATATCATCGTATCCATGTGACGGTACACGCATGTCTTGAGTAATAATTACAAAATTTTACTAGAAAGAAAAGAATAAAAAAATTAATGTTGAAAAAATTTGTGTTTTAATGCAAATTATCGAAACGTGTATTATAATCTCAGGGTCAAAAATAGCTATATTTAATTGCATATATTATAAGAAGATTAAAAATTATCTATATGACATAAAAAATTAATTCTCTTTTACAAGTTTTTACATTTTTATATTCGCCTGCGTATGCACGTATATAGTGTTTAATTATATTCAAAAAATTATTGGTATTTATATAGCTATTTTCTGATACCTATAATTTAAATGAAATATAATTAGAAAAAATAAAAAGAAACACATTTGTTATCAAAGTTTATGTGTACTTTCGCAATAATAGCTTCTTGCAACTAGATTAAAAAATATTATATATATGTTATTATACATATTATATTCTTCGCATATATATATATATATTATTGGCAAAGACGTAATATGTTGCCTCTCGTAAATGTATATACCTTGAAACACGTGTCGCCGAAGATATAATCGTTTTTCTCTTCAAAATAATTTTAATAATTGAAAATCAATGAATGTTGTTTTTTATGTTTAATATTTTACTTGTGCATACATCATATGAATATGAATTATATTGAATTAAAAATGATGCATGATTTTTTATCGTGTATGACATTTAAAGCGACATAAATACATAGTAATAGAGAAATAATCTATAAAAAATGTACACATAAAACTTTATAAATGAATTATAAATATTAAACTACACAATAAAATTTAATAAATAATAAAATTTAATAATTAAATTTCTAATAATACAATGTATTTATTAAATTAAATTAAATTTTAATTAACATTTATTTACATTTTTTAAATATATATAGATTATTTCTTTAAAAATCAAATTATAATAAAAATTATAATAAAATTATAATAAATAATTATAATAATAATTATATTAACATTAATGTTAAGAATATTTTTGATTTTCTGTGAATAAAAATGCCTCTAAACTTTTTAATTCTTTTTTTAATCACGTTGTAGTTGTATGATTGTACAATATAATAGATCATTGTAGCGATAACACTGACTTTCCGTAAACAAAAACAAATTTGAAAATAATTTTGTAACTATTTCTATTATACTTCTACTTTGCGCAAAGTGAAATCCACCTTTTCCAGCACGCGATTGATCTTATCATAGAGAATTAATTAAAAAGAGCAAAATGATTAACAATTATAATTACGATGTGAAGCACAAGTGCAGTTGCATCGGAAGGCACGAGCCTCACCTGTGAACTATAGCCGCTCTATTAGGAAGCTCCGCTGTCATAGAAATACTTCCTCGAGATAGTTATGAAGCATATAAGTAAATGTAATTATATAATTCCATTTTCATCCAACTTCTGCCTGCAATAGCGGCATATATTGGATTTAAATCTCATCGTATTTTCCATTTCTTATACTTATTTTTAAGAAGAATAAATTGATATAAGAAATCCAGTTATATATTAAATAAAAAGTTAAGTCAAAATAAATAGCTTCTTTATTTTTTTAAAGTAACATTAATGAAAAAAAAATTTATTACTAAACAAAATAACTTTGATTACGTTAACATATTGTTTTATTATTTTATTATACATAGAAAAATGTATATAATAATATTTGTATAAAAATAATAAATATTGAAATACATCAAAGAGAATTGAATTGTTCTTGAAGATCGCTGAAAAAATAAAATTGAAAATCAATAATTAAAATCATATAACTGATTGTTGCTATAAGGAATTGTGTTCTCTTAATATAGATTATGTAATTGATATACATTGAATATATTAAATTGACAGGATGTGTCAAGATTGCTTGACGGCGAGCACGAGCAGCGGGAAAACGCTGTCTATCACAGAAAAACACTTATTACGAAGAGAGAAAGTATGCAACAACGCGAGCTACGTAATGCATCGTGCGCTGCATTCATTATTCATGCAATCGCTCTATCTATCGAATAGATAGCGTGAGACCGTGTGGATTCGCGCGAATGTGCTCGCGTTATTCGCGAAATGCCTTCGATTGGCGAGAAAATGCAATCAAGTTCTTAATATCCTTAAAAGGGAAATTTCGAATGGAATCGTTGCTCGTCTCGGAATTGTTATGATTTCGAGACAATCGATAATTGCCTCCGTGACCGGAAAGCAAACCTTCTAGGAAATCCGACCTGACATCGCAAAGATGTCAAATTTTATTCTTTCGAGAGTGAATAAATAATATAAAAATGTGCGGACCAAGATTTGATGATTAGAATAACTTACATTAAATAAAAAAGAGTTTAAATCAGGAGCTTAATTAAATAGAACGATATTTTTTCAAGATCACACGGTAATAATGATATAACTGGAAAATTGGGATTGAAGGGAAAAGATCCGTGAAATGTTATGTTAGATACATTTCAAGGCACATTTATATTATAGTGATTTACTTCTCACACAGTTGTATAATATGTCTGTATCAATAGTAAAATCTATCAAGATAATCTATGTGTCTTGGATTGCCATGTAAATTTGAATAGATCTAACCGAGGTTGAAACTCGGGCATTAATAGTTTCTTTGAAGGATACATGTATCCCTGGATAATAATCGAGATTTATCGTCGCGAGGTGTATAGTATGCTACCGGCAAGCTACGCGACTACGAATCTAATTAAACGTCCGCGTGCATATACAATAAATTATTAAGGCATTAGCCTCACGTTTGCTCACTGGCGAATTCTACGCTCGAGCGACTATTATGGAGGCTTGGTCAGTAATCATTAATGACCACTCGCACAAAATTGACGCTATATTACCTGTAACCGGTCCTCGAGAGTGTAAACGTTGCGATAATAATTAGCTGAGAGATTGAGATACAGAGGGATCTTAATCTCTATTATTGTTTAGTAATATGCATGTCATATGACATTCTATAGTTTCCTTTACCGGAAGAGGGAATTCATAATGCAGCAAAAGAAAATCATTAATAAAGTTAAAATCAATTTTATAAAAATAAATCTATTAAAATGTCCATAGAAAATAAATCTATAATAATAAAAAAAAATATGATGAAAATATAAAAATTATAGAAAAAAAGATTAAATTAGAATAGATCAAATTTATATTATATTATATTATATATTTAAATATATTAAATTTAAATATATACTACAGATGTGAATCAAATTTTTAATAAAGATTTAATAAAAAAATTCAGGCACAATTAGTATATAAAATCGTTTTAATAAGGTGAATAATAAAAAATGCATTGCATCAAACGTAGGCGACTTCGATCGCGATACATACTTATTACTTCGAGTTAGATTGCATTTTGAAATAACGGCGGTTCTCCTTTTACACTATACATGTATTTCGCGTTATCTATAAGACAGAAAAAGCTTGTTGCAAAGCAGTAATCCGCGCAACGCACCTGATTATTGCGGCAATTGCATACGTCCATTTGAGTTCGCGGTAATCATTTTATAAGAGAAAAATTACACCTTCTATATACTATTTTACATAAATTCGTCGACATTTTGCAGTCTCCGATCTCCAAAAAAAATGGAAAATTCTCAAGCTACGGCAACGTGCCGCGTAATTATGTAGGTGGGAAACGTCAACGCCACGTTCACTTTGATGCAAATGGCTCGCTCGTAATGCTTCAGTAAATTAAATGCAAGAATTTTTTATACGAGTAGATACCTCGCATATACACACATGTCTGTTTTAATTTTTTTCTCTCACAATGTAATATCTAATTTAAATGTTCAAGAGAAGCGCCTGAGAAAAAAGTTCCAATTTACATTTCAAATTTTGATTTAAAAGGAACAATTAATAAAATTAAAAATTGTAAATTATCATCTAATTTTCTGACCTTCTGATCTTCTATGCCATAAATTAGATTCTATATTAGATCATAAATCTATTCTGTAGTTACCTATCATTATTTAAGGCAGCAGCTGTATAAAATTTTTTTAATAAAAATTATTATAGACTACAAAAGAAAGAGAAAGAAAAGTTAATAAATTTGATATTTAATTTTTTATTGAACTATTTTTTTAATTTCAATATGTATTAATTTCAATATTTTTTAATTAACATTTAATTTAATTCACACTTTAATTAAATATATACATAATTTAATTTAATTTAATTTAATTTTTTTCAATTTGCTTTGAAATATCTAATAAGTTTCCGAGTGCATCATCAATGAAATATCACGCATAAAACACAGCTGCATTATGCTTTCCCTTGCGAGCGTGCGAGAGAATCCTCGCAAGAATTCGCAGGAACGTAACGGATTACACGCGCTAGCATGATTACGACTGCTGAAATAATTGCATAATATTCACAAACATCTAAAGAGATACGATATACGCCTGTGATTGTCGTATCATCGAGAAATGTTCCTTTTCTCGTGAAACAATTTTCCAAGTAAATGTAATTCTTCCTTTCCCATTGCACATTTATATATATTACTTAGCAAACGGCGCTGAAAGTGCTTCACGAACCATAAAGACACTCGCAACAGCGTCTACTCTACGTAATGCTGAAATCGCACTGTGCAATCGCACAAGCGAAGTCTAAGAAACTAAGGAGATTAATAGATTAAATTTGTGCCGCTAAGTTTAATTGGTAATTGATCTCGAATTTTTTCGCGAATCTTCAGAATATTCCTGACCATTCATGAATAATATGTTCATTGTCAGACAAGAATGATATTAATAACTAAAAAGAGAATATAATAGTACAACACAAAAATAAATATTTGTATTAATAATTTAAAAATGACGATATATATATATATATATATATATATATATATAGAAGTTGCAAGAGAAAAAATTATGTCGTATTATATAATAATATCAAAATGTAATATATTAAAATAAATATTAATTACAATAATGAAACAAATATATATAAAATATAAATTTAATAAATATTTAAGAAGAAAGTTAATAAAAAAATACAATAATTATCGATAAGCATAAGCACGTATCAAATTATCATCACTGATGTGCATCACAGAATGAGTCCGTAAAGAAAACGCTTTAATGAAGATTATGTCTAAAGGAATTTTAAGAAGTCATTAGCGTTAAAAATACGTATAGGTGTTTTATAAAAGAAGAAGTAGTCTAAGAGGTAAAAAAATCGTGGGATGCGAAGACCTTGTCGAGCTATCTCGATGAGGCGCATCTCGACGATCAGCCACATTCAAACTTGTTAATTATGCGTTTTCACGGATTCTCGCGAATGGACGTTGCCTTTTGCTCAGCTCTCCGGAATTCAGGATAAAGATGAGACACGATCGCGACGATTAGTCCGGCCCGATTTGTTGTGTATATATGTGAATGATAAAAAAACAGACGCTATTCGCATCACGTTCATCGAACGACACCGCGATGGAGAGATGGCAACCGGCTTTAGGGTAGCTTTGTTTGGATTATCCGTTGCTCGGCGACGTTAGATTGATTTCGCGTCGAGAACTTTGCATACAGTCTTCGCAAGAAGAGCTTATCGCATTAAATAGACACGAGTGGCTCATCGACAAATTCGATCAGATGCTGCGAAGAAGAAGAAGAAGCTCGCGTTTTATTTGAACGAAAATCGAGATCGTACACCTTTCGTTGAGAAGATCTTTATCCTATGTGATCGTATACCTTAGATAAATTATGATAAATGCATAACTGAGCCAACGAAACATCGAACCGCTCGATTCAATTCAATCTATGCGATCGAATTATGCGGTCGGTGCACATCAAATGCAGAGCAATCGAGAGTGGGAAAATTAATGAAGCTAAAATTGACATTGATCATCGGTCAATATTCAGGCCTTTAGCCAGCCATTGATAGAACGTGCTATTGAGCCGTTTTGCATAATTGACTTGATACGCATTGCGTCATTTGCGGTTTCCAATGAATTCCGTGCATTTCCACAAATGAATTGCGCGCGAGTTCGTTCCGATCTCAATTCAATCCAGATTCCATTTAATATGATTTACATTTTTTTTTTCATTTTCCTTCTTCCTCATTTAATCTAATTATATTATATTTTTGATCGAATAAAAAGTAAATCTCGTATTGCTCTCTGTCATAATTAATAGCGGGAATAATCGGATAAAAATGGAATGACATAAACATTTCATTTATCACAAGACGTAAAAATCAACTTTTATTGTACAATAAATAAAAGTATGTTGCGCTGTCGTAGACAAATGTTTCGGGGGAAAGAGATGGCCGCTCAGCTGTTTCCTCTTCAATCTGTTGCCGCACACAATTTTTCATTTTTGACAGAATGAGATGAATAAATGGGGAAGACTCCGATTGTGTCTGTCGTACAATGCGTGTAATATGTAGTGTCAAGGTAAAACGAAGAATGATAATGGGAGAAGGTGGGGAAGGCTTTTTCAAGTCTGACTGCCTGGTCTTTTTGGGGTGGTCCTCCAGAAGTGGCCCAAGACGTGCGGCTATCCTGAGGCAGTTCAAATTTCCGCATATACGATTCTCGAACCGAAGATCCACAACCCTCGGCGCGAAGAATCGATTTGTCTCGCCGACGAGACGAGAAACAAGAGATCCCGATCTGTCGGCGAGAGAATTTCTTAATGTCACGTTCGTTCGCCGATCGAACGGCGAATTAGCTGCCTCATATCAGCCTCAGGATGACGCGTTCGGCGTGGACCACTCCGGACCAGCGGGTCTGCTGGCTCAGACGCGAGGATCTAATGCCAGTCGTGTTTAAGGGCGACGTTGACGACGCTGGGCTCGTAATGCGGCGCCGGGTTGTAATGCTCGACTCCCACCAAGTGCGGATGCCCTATATGCGGAGCAGAGTAGTGGATGCGGGTGGAGTGATCATTGCCATGAAGAGCCAGCGGAGAGGCCTTGGGTCCCGGGATGGAGGGTTGGTTGCCGACGTGGATTATCTCCGGTCCGTGATGCTGGACGGGTGGAAAAGAAAGGTTTAGATATATATCTTATACTTGTAATATTGTACACACGAAGCGATACTCGGGTTGCACGCGAGCGATTGAGAAGAGTTTACGCAACGCGCAATCTCGATGAAAATGATATAGTCTCTTTCTCCGAGAGGTATTCCGCGATCGCGAAACTGCGGTAGTAAACGCGAGGGAGTTTAGCTTGAGCAACAGCAATGGCGGAAGTTGCATAAACGGGCGTGATCAATTGCATTGCGGTTGCGACGGAATTTCATAATTCCGTGGCTTATAATTCAATTAAGCAGCGAATCGAATTATGAAGCAATTTCATTAAATTGGTTAAGTTGATATTAATACTACAGTTATTTTATTTTATCCAATTATCTCGGAATAATTAAATTCGCGGTGAATTTTTTTGTTTTATCATTATATTTTATGTTTTATATATATTTATAAATAACTTGACGGCGAGACTTGAACTATTTACAAGTTACATAATTATAAAAATTATAATATACGCGATACATATGCAACTTTTAGCAACCATAAATTTACTCAAGTATGATTTCGCAACATGCTTATGTAAAATATAGTTTTTAACGTGATAAAGTTCAATGTATTATTAGTTAGAAATTCGATAAAAAAGAGAAATTATAAAAATTACACATATATGAGAAAATTGTAAAATAATTATCGAGATTGAGTTTTTGAAAGTAGAAATTTTGAAATACTTACAATCAATCCAGCGCTAGCGACTGCCACAATGGCGAAAAGAACAACCTGCAAGAATAAAATATAACTTAAAGCAATTCAGAATTTTAGTACTAGCATCAAATAAAGATTGCACACAATATAACAAAGATATAAATAAATAATATAGCACATAATGAAATAAATAATTTACTCTCTTATTTCTCCGAATTGCTGTTAGCACTTAAAGAGTCCTCAACATGGCTTATTTAAACCATTAAGTAAAAAAGAAACAGAATAAAATCTAACAGATAATATCAGAATTATAGTTTCAACGTCTTTTTATAAGAGTCTACAATGTTTTACGTGCAAAAATAAGTGCAAAATCGACGGGCAAACCCGTGACGTGCGAAGGGAGAACTTACGAAGAATTTCATGGCGACGGGCGATGGGGTTTTTCTTGCGTGTTAAGCGAGAATCAAGCACTATGTGTTCGAGGATCGACGCGGTATGCTTTTATAGCAGGTCCCTGCCCAAGTCCAGGCCCACTCTCAGGACATCAAGCGGGGGCACGGCTTCGCACGTCACACGGACCCCTTTCACTAATCACGCGACCGACACCCTCTCGCAAGTTCCCCCCTTGTTGGGTGCTCGCCCAACCGCGACGTCACGCCTCGTCACGCTCCCGATAATATCGATATCGCGATAGTAGACTCTTCGTAGATTAGCGAGACGTGGACCTTCGAAGAGACGCATCTCGTCGTCCTTACTCTCCAAATTTCGTGGAGAACTGAGCAATCTCATTCCAAAAGAGTGGACTTTTACTCCAAAAGAGTGAGATTTCACTATTATAAATTCCGATAATATTGATATCGCGATAGTAGACTCTTTGTAGATTAGCGAGACGTGGACCTTCGAAGAGACGCATCTCGTCGTCCTTACTCTCCAAATTTCGTGGAGAACTGAACAATGTCATTCCAAAAGAGTGGACTTTTACTCCAAAAGAGTGAGATTCCACTCTTTTGGAGTAAAATTCCGATAATATCGATATCGCGATAGTAGGCCCTTTGTAGATTAGCGAGACGTGGACCTTCGAAGAGACGCATCTCGTCGTCCTTACTCTCCAAATTTCGTGGAGAACTGAACAATCTCATTCCAAAAGAGTGGACTTTTACTCCAAAAGAGTGAGATTTTACTACTATAAATTCCGATAATATCGATATCGCGATAGTAGACCCTTTGTAGATTAGCGAGACGTGGACCTTCGAAGAGACGCATCTCGTCGTCCTTACTCTCCAAATTTCGTGGAGAACTGAACAATCTCATTCCAAAAGAGTGGACTTTTACTCCAAAAGAGTGAGATTCCACTCTTTTGGAGTAAAATTCCGATAATATCGATATCGCGATAGTAGGCCCTTCGTAGATTAGCAAGACGTGGACCTTCGAAGAGACGCATCTCGTCGTCCTTACTCTCCAAAGTAAGGAGTGAAAACTGAACAATCTCATTCCAAAAAAGTGGACTTTTATTCCAAGAAATTTAGAGAATAAATTGATCGGCGAACGTGATTGAGAAAATTAGTGATGTAAAAGTTTAAGGTCCGATGTATTCTATTTTGATTTTTCTTTTTGAATAAATAAATATTTCAGTCTCTTCAATCCAAAATGACGTTGATGCAATCAGGCTTAAGTAACATAGACGAATAAAAAACACGGCACATATTAAATCGTGACGCTAAATCGCGATGATTAAATCGACAATATAATATTTATGAAATCGCTGTAATTTTTATACTTGAGAAAATTACAGCGTTTTGCAAGATTGCGTGGAAGAATTAATTTATGTTGAATAAAGTAGACTTGTTGATTTGTGCGTGCATTTAATTGTTAAATTAATTCTTAAGTAGATTTCTAACATGATTTTCTAATCAATTTATTTCTTCTTAATTTTATGTATTACATACGACGTTCCACATAAATATTGTGTATATTATATTATTATATATTCTATTACACAATCGATGACATAAACTTTTAAGAGCATCGTCGGCTTTATTGCAAATCGATTGCGCATCAATATTACTCAATCTTAACTACAGCTTAGCTTAGCTGAGCTTTCCTTTTCATATTTTCTACTTTTCACATTTTCTATTTAAATATCATTTTGTTTACGTAAGTTAATTATTAATTTATTTAGTAATAAACATTGAATATACAATATTGAAATCTCACGAAACAGAAAAATATTACGCGTGTTTCTTCAAAGACAGACTTTTACTACTGACATATATATATATATATGTGTGTGTATTAAATTTATATACTTCCAAGGTAATTATTTATATATTATATAAATATAAATTTATATATACATATATATATATGTATATATATATATATATATATATATATCGCACACAAAACACATTGATTTAAATAAGCAACGATATAATATTGCAATCATGCTATCTTCAATCTATGTCATCACAGTGAATTTACTTCGATGTTGTTGATAAAATTTATTACTAATTTATTCTTTAATTAAATAATATAATTAGCTCTATTTATGTACAACGTAACCTAGTTTGCAAGCAAACTTTCACAAACATTTAAACGCAACTCGTTACAGCATATTAACTTGTAAACAAGTACTTACATTTTGCTACACATGACTGATCTAGGAGACTTTGAGAACGTTTTCCAGAAAAACTTGAATAAAGTAAAATTGTGGTATGCATATCAACTTATGTTTATGTTATATATATACATTGCGCAATGTATTTTTCATACGCATAACTTTGTAAATTGTTGCAATCGAGCAATCGTGATGTATCGTAATAGCTTCAAAAAAAAAAAAGAAAAATAGAAGAAAAACAATTTTTCAAATAAAATGAAATAGAATAAATAAATAAAAATAAAATAAATATATGAACAGAATAGAAAGGAACGGAATGTACTGGGCGATTTAATAAGAAACAACAGCGCAATTCCTGATTTATCACAAAAGACGTACAGGTCAACCTTTATTAGAAAATAAATAAAAGTGTTGCTGCGAACGACAGAGAAAAATTGGACAGAAGGGACGAAAGGGAAAACGCTCTCTCTTTTGATGTCTTGCGATGTCTTCTTCATAGTAGCACGATAATAGCCGCCGGGAAATTTGGTCAGTGTTCAAACAGGGAAATAAGAGAAAGGAAAACGGGGAAAAAGACTCGGTTGTCCATGTGTGTTTGTGTGAAATGTGTCATATGTATAGCTCTAAGGTAGAAATCATGTCAAAAATATATTTTTTCTTCTTAAATCTGTGGCTGCCTTGGTCTGCGATCCGCGAGCGATCCACGATTTTCATATCTCTCGCTGGGAGAGCCTCAAAGAATTCCGATTCTGACGATCCTCATTTTTGTGCTCATTGCTTCTTATTTATTTCAATCAAAGTAACTTGGAAAAAAAAATGACGAGGATAAGGGAAGAGGACGGAGAAGATGATATTTATGCGTCGTCGACGAATTGTCTGCTGTCACTCTTAGGCCGCGGAATGACTTCTCGGGTGGACCGCTCGGAATCGACTGGTTTGACGGACGTCGGAGCTTAGTCCCAGCCGTGCCCGTGCGCCTTGACAACGGAGATGGCGGGTTCCGGTGCGGGCACATAGTGCTCAACGCCGACGAGATGCGGATGTGGGATATGCGGTGCGTCGTAATGTATTCTGTTGACGTGGTCGTGCGCCTTGAGATGCAACGGCTTCGGATGCGGCGGCGGAATGGGGACATGTTGCGGGATGTTGAGCACTTGATGATACTCCTGTAGTAAACGGGTAATACAATTATATTAATATATCATGTGATCAAATATATTATTAATAGAAACAATTTGTAAACGATTAAAAACAATTTAACGCACTTAAAAAGCGTATGTTATGGGTAATATCGTAAAATAAATCTCTTTGTGCCTGAATCGATTTTATTCGACGAATTATGATAAATTCTTTCATTAAAAAAATTGTGTTTTTATTTAAAAATGCATTATTTGATTGATAATCAGCAAAGCAATATCGCGATTAATTAAAACCGATTTATGCTCAATAATTATGTTTGATTATTGAAATATAATTTTATTAATGCTTATTTTAATATGTATTTTAATACGCATATATAGAATATATATTAAAATTATTAGCAATAAATTAAAAGATAAATTAACTTAATGTAATTATTGATGTAAAAATAATAACAAAAAATAATGTAGAATATAATTTAAAGATGATAAAAAATAATTGCAAAAATATTATAAATTTGATAAAAGAAATTTTACTTTTCCAACGAAACTTAGCATTATTACGAGATTTCTTAATGGCAATTGTGAAAACAAAAGGAAGATAATTTCGGATGCGTATCATTAACTAAAAATAACAAGGATTCAAAGGCGGAACAAGCCGTTACATAAACGGCGCTGCGCCAATCATTTCGGTGCAATTGAGCCGGAATTTCGACACAGCTTCTTTATAGGTCTCCGATTAAATAGGAAATCCAATTAGCTAACGATCAACGAACACGTATATTCCGTTGCCGGTTCAACTGCAATGCCAAGCAAAAAAGACACGCAACTATCGATCTATCAGATCTGACAATATAACGTAATATTAGAAATCGACCGATCATTGAACGAAAGGGAGGGCTCAATTGGTGACACGACACAAAATCACGGTGTTTACTTGATTTCCCGTTGCACGTCATTTTCCGAAATCTATAATTACCGACGCAGATTGCTATCAGCTGTAATTTCAAGTCACGCTATATAAATATATCAATAATCCCATTAATTTAACAAATGTTTCACAGGATTTCAATTTCCATAATAATTATCTATAATAATAATGATATTCAATCTTCAGCTTCATTATAATAATTTATCTATTCTGCTAAAAAATTATTATTATCTCGAAAAGAGCAAACAAAGATGACTACACCACAAAGAGCTAATTTTTGGATTACTCTTGCTTATATATAATAAAATCAAACAATATATGAATTAATTTAATGTGTCAAATTAAATAAATTATTTCGAATACTTTAGCAATATTTCTCGTTCGATTACATCTCTTTTCTCCCAATATTTTTCTTCCCTGTCATCGTCCTTTAATCATTTATTCTATTTCCAATATTTCGATTCGCCTGATACTCAGCGGACGAGCGATTAGGCGCATGTCCGGCCGTGTGATTTAATACAGAATCGATCTCGACGATAATATCTCTCCAGCATCATTACCTTGCCGTACGACACCGGAGCGGCGACCTTGACGTATTTCGGTGCGGCCGCGACCCAGGGTAGAGCCTCGTGCACCACCGGAGCAGCGTGCACCGCAGGAGCCACCCAGGGCTGCACGATCTGAGTGCGTCAAACAGTCTCTCTCTCAATACGATCGGAAAATCGATCGCATGCATTAACACAGCCGGGTGTTACGTGAAGTTTACTTTCGCCGCCGAGCACGTCCAAAGCTACTCGGTCGCCGGAAGCGAAATAGACGGAGTCTACTCCACTATAGTTCGGCGATCAGCGATGGAGTATTAAAAAAATGATGAGTTACGAACAGAGAGAGAGAGTAAGATCGGAGAATTACGAGGAAAAAGAATGATGTTTAATGCAGAGACGAGAGACAAGAATGATAAATGAAGATTAAATAACACTTTTTCCTTCGCTACGTGTTTCGATTTGGATTATCGATAGGAATATGAAAAGAGAGCTTTCTTGTCGAGATGCAGAATGTCGAAAATGAATGACGAGAGAAAAACATTAATGCTGTTAGGCGAATAACAGTCATGCTTGGCAACGATGGTGACAAATTTCTTTCGTAAGATTAATTTGCGAACGGAAAGATTAATAATCTTTGGCAAGATAAATGTATGAACTATAAGTTGAAAAACTTACGAGTATTCCTAGAAGATGATGGATTAAGAAGATTTAGTGATTACACATCTTGTTAAAGCCCCGAATCGATTCTCACTCGGGTAACGAAAAATGTTTAGTTATTTAAGATGACAGAGTCGAGGGTCGCTAAAATATTAATAATAATTAGATGAAGACTAATGAGAGTTGAATAACTCTATCAAATTCCAGTTTGATTAATCACGATGATTAAATTCAGAAAGCAACGTCTACAGAGGATTGACCTTGTGTTACAACAAAATTGTATTAATATTATATTATGCATGTATAGATATCATGTTTCACATATATTTTGCTAAAGCACACAAAGGCAAAAAATAATATTATATTATAATCAAAATAATATTTCAAATTTATATGCGTGAATAGTAATTATTAAGAAACTTACTGGCTCATGATGATATCCAATAAGTCCGGCGCTAGCGGCCGCAACAACGGCGAACAAAACAACCTGTAAAAATACAATAATATATTGCAATTTGCATCAAAAAATAATAATAACAACTTAACAGACACATTCAGTTTTGCCGTCTATTTTTCTAAAATAAATATATTCCCCGCGATGATTAATAAAAAAAGAAATAAATATCAGATACATATATACATATATTTGCGGTCGACCCAGTGAATCGAATAAATGAAAAAAAAATTGTATAAAATTAAATTTAATTCAATAAATATTAAATAAATTTCTGATATAATTGATTGTTGAATGTATATTACGCAAGAAGATTTAAACTGGCGAACCGTGAGACAAAAGATGCACTTTGTATATTACATTACATGAAACAAGGATAAATACTGTGTAAAGATACTGGCTGCAAATGCTAATATACTTGTGCAACGGTATCGCGTGACAGAAGGAATCCTCGGGGAACAATCGCGAGTTCGCGGCAAACTCTTAACTTCCCGCGTGATATACTCGAGCGAGGAGAAACTTACGAAGAACTTCATGGTGGATGTGATGACAGTTTTTCTTTGCTCGCTACGCGGGAGAACACTACTTGTTTGAGGGGCAACGCGGTATGCTTTTATAGCGAAACCCTGCCCAGGCCCAGGGGCCCCCAGGGATGAGGCTGGGGAGAGGCATTCGACGATTGCACCGCTTCGGATGCGGACCCCTTTCACTAGTAGCGCGATCGAAAACCCTTTCGGGATCCCTTATCGGGACTTCAAGAGCGCCAATCAATGATGATCGAGTAGTAACTTCCGGTGAACGCCCTTGAGGGTGCCATCGGAGAAGGATGGACCCCTTCGGGATTCTGCAGACGAAATCCTAATGTCATTGGCCTAGTTTGTTGGAAAAAAGCAGATTGTTGCTCGCGACTCTATAGAGTCTCGCCATTCAATTTATCAGCGATTTGCAAAATTTTCATATTTTCTATTTTCGAAAATCGTATAGCGATTTGCGCGAAGGAAAGTAGATTTATATAAAAAGCTAAATTACTGTGTTCCGCAAGATTTTATCGGGCAAAAAGATTTATTGCGCGAAGTCGGGCAAAGTGATTTATTGTTATTACATTTTAATATAAAATAATTACATTAAAAATTACGTTTAAAAAATTAAATTATAAATTAAATCATAAGAAATATATATGTATAAAATACTAATTTAATTTAATTTATAATTTGATAATTAATTTAATGAAAATATTAAAGCTAAAACATACATACGCAAATAAAATAATGAATAATACTCAAAAATAAATGATAAAGAAAAACAGTTTTATTGAAAAATATAAATTGTTTTCAAGAAAAACCAACATATATATTTATGCGTATCTACGTGCAAATATTAAAGAGCGTTGCAAAATATTATGAATATTATTATTTGTGTATCATCAATATATAATTAATTGCAAACGCAATTTTGAACTGTGTAATTTTAAGTGTTTAATTATGTAATTTAATATTTTTAATATAATTTTAAATTTATAATAATCACTAATTTTTCTAATTAGCGTGTTATTACTTTATTAATATTTAAACACGTTTTTATTGTTTTATTTCAAAATGTAGGTTGCTATTTCAAAACACAGGTTGCTTTATAAAAGATCGATCGCGCCAATAAATTATACAAGCCCAATGCCGCATCACAATCGTCTTAACGAGCATTGTCGATCGATCACCTTAGATTCACGGATCACAATCGTGACGTATTGATTACAATTGAACAATAAAGTTAAATCATATAAAATGTCCAGCGTAAATGTGTTGCGCGTAAAAGTTGATGGGACGACTCTGATTAGGATGTAACACGCAATGTCGAGAAATATGTGGCATGGGAAAATGTCGGAGCACGTTTTTGCAGCTTGCGTAAAAGGGACATAGGCACTGTGTGTGTGTCTAATGTAAAACAATCGTCTCTCTATCTCGCTATCACGAGTCGTAATTTCATCAAATAAGAAGATAATAAGCGTGTAACAACGCAATCGCGCGTTATAACTCCCTGAAATAGAAAATACAGTCACCATCTACCTTTCTCAAGTGATTTTTCTCTCGCGCCAGGGAATTAACGTTTATGGAATTTACTGTCGACAAATTTGGCGGAGAAACTCAAAACACAATAAATTTCCGCGGTGCGATTTTTGCGTCGCTGTCGAAATTGTGTAATATTCGCAGTTATGAAATATGAACTCGATATACGTATTTTGGAGAAGAAACGATGTGTGAAAACCGCGATGGCGCAATATATCGATACAGCTTACGAAGAATGAAAGGGACGAGAAAATTGATTCTTTTCAAAATCGTAGCCCCCAAAAAACGCGTCGTTTCGACGATAAATCTTTTTTTTTTTCGGCGATGCGAAATCCTTTCGATTAAAATTTTTAATTAATTTATAAGATACACATAGAGAGTGTAACATTCCATATTGTATATTAATTTCGCAATAGCGAAACCCGCTATTTCTTCAATTTCTCGCCTCTGTAGTTTCATTAATTGACAATATAGTCCTATTTTATATTTTATTATACGCGTGAATTAATTTTGCAATCTGTGTTTTTTCCGACTCTTCTAACTCTTTGTGCAGAGGAAAACCGTGCGATCTTTTTCCCCTGTTCTAGTCATTCGTTTCGCTAGAATCGTGTCGAAACCGTTATTTTATCATGAGAAGTGCATGCGCATTCCGCTAATATAATAGAACTATTATTATTACCGTGTGGACTAGATAACGCGCAATAATTGCGAATAAGACAGCTTTTTAAATCGAGGAAACTTCTTATACGAATCAATCTTTCAATATTTAACAGTTCTAACAATTCTCCCTCCGTGCGTCATTCACCCTCGGGTCTAATGAACGCACGTTTAACGAGCGACGCTAATTTCGCAACTAACAGTAGCCAGCTAGAGGTGGTTATAGCCATGAACGCATTTACTTCTGGGTCACATCGGAGAATACATCTATCTCTCTCTCCCTCCGTAAAAGCGTATATAGTTACGATTTTCGCGAATATCGTCGTTTCCCGAACGATATGGAAGTGAACGCCCGCGTGTTTCTTCGTCGTCAGCCGCGTTTTTTTTTTCATTTCAGAACGATTAGCAATTACCAGGACGGGTATATATAAGATAGACGAGGTGTAAGAGAGCGACAGGGTTTGCGCAACCAACTATATCTCTCCCGCGAGTGTACCTTCGCGTTGGAGAACAACCCCACATAACATTAATATACCCTGCGCGATGTTGATGTTGAACGCGCGCGTTGCAAAATCTGGAAAGTTTAACGATTCCAATTATTTTGTAACGCCTCGCGCGCTCGCGTTGATTTTGAATCAGAACGGAGTCCGGATAAAGGGAAAGAGCGAGAAAGAAAATTAATGAGAGAGAGAGAGAAGGAGATGAAGGAGCGCGCGAGAAATACTAATGCGTTATACATCGCGCAGTGGTGCCTGAAGAATTCACGTACGAGATCTTTATAAGCAACAATTTAAGACGTATCAAATTACAAACATTGTTATTTATCAATGAGATTAATATATGCATGTTGTGTTATGCACGAAGAGAGAATTTTCTCTTAGAATTTACTCCGAAAATCATGGTATAATCGTGGGACAATATGATATTGGAAGCATTTTATGAGAGTTTTTCTGATTAATATTTACTACAATAAAAATATTAATATATACATAGTAAAATTAATCAAACATATTTTATATCTTATTTTAGCAGATATTGATATTTTTTTATATTGTGGTAATATAATCAGAGAAACTCTTATAAAATTCTTCGAATACCATATTGTCATACGATTATTATGATTTTCAGGGTAAATTTTAAGAGAAAGTTCTCTCTGTGTATGATAATAAAGAAAAACAATTAATAAAACACAACAAGAAATTATAATATTTTCTCTTAGAATTTACTCCGAAAATCATGGTATAATCGTGGAACAATATGATATTGGAAGCATTTTATGAGAGTTTCTCTGATTAATATTTACTACAATAAAAATATTAATATATACATAGTAAAATTAATCAAACATATTTTATATCTTATTGTAGCAGATATTAATATTTTTTTATATTGTGGTAATATTAATCAGAGAAACTCTTATAAAATTCTTCGAATACCATATTGTCACACGATTATTATGATTTTCAGGGTAAATTTTAAGAGAAAGTTCTCTCTGTGTATGATAATAAAGAAAAACAATTAATAAAACACAACAAGAAATTATAATATATAACGATATAACAATAAACAAATATATATATATATATATGTACATATATACATTGGCAGATCCTGGGAAAGATTGGGGGTTAAAACCACCTCTTCCAAAAATTGCAATCCGATTTGGGAAAATATTATCATTATTAACCAAAATAATTGTGTAGAAACCCCCCATTATCGACTTTAGAATCCACTAGTGCATATATACATATACATATGCGTTTACATTTTTAATTATATATTAAACAAAATATATATATATATATATATATATTTATATTTATATTATATATATTACATATACATATACGAGTATGTATTTAAATATTTTTAAAATTTTCTAAAATTAGAATTGATATGATAAAAATGATTTCTAGACATAAAAAATTCAAAAATGCAGATTAACTCGTCTATGCACGTCACCGCAATTCGAATGCGCTTTCCCCCTCAGGAAAGCACATTGCTGTAATTCGCGCATCGTTGCACTCGATAAACCGATCTCCGGCACGTGAACGAAGCAGCTTCTGCTTGTAATGCATAATACATTAATCGGAGATCGCGCGGCTATCTCATATGTTAATCTTTTGCCGTTTATTTTGTTTTATTGTTTTATTGAATTGCATTTAAAAATAATATTGTGCTTGTTTGAATAAAACCATATCGTAAAAGAATATCAGAATAGAAGAATATGATTTAATAGAGAAGATTTAATTTAGAAATTATTTTGGAATAACAATTGTCACATATTATCACGTTTAAAGGGTTTCTTAATTTATCAGATAAAAAATAAAAATAAAAATTTTAAATAAAAAAAATTAACTCTTTCTGATATCTATCTATTTTAAAAACAAACACAGCACCTTTACATAAGATAAGTACAAATTTAAAATTTTAAACACCTTACGACATCCCACAAATAATTATCAGTGTTTTTTATATTCCAGCTTTCACAATGTTGCTAAATTGTTTATAAAAAAAACAAGATCTCCCACACATCAAGATGTCGAAATGTCCCTGAACTATCGCAATAATTTATTTTCGTTCATTATCTCCTTTTGCGCGCTCAGTCGAGACACAATCGCGAAAACGCAATAGTCGACGTAAACGCTAAATAAAGTGGATGTTGCAATTAGCGGTTAATAAGTGGACGAATCATCGCGAGGTGAATCATTTATATCGGAATCATGATTTACGCGCATCTGACCGTGAAAATCGAGAATGAAACGGACTCAGATCTCTATATCGCGAACACAATCTGAACTGCATTGATATTCAAATTTTGCTCGTTATTAATGACTTGCATTTACCTTACGTAAC